TGGAAATTATCCGGGATTTGAGGGGCTTGTGGGTAAATGGTTGGGTTGCGTAGGGAAATACAATCGTCCTTTTGGTCGTTGAGATGTAGTCTATCTTTTTGTCTCACATACCGTTGGATCTCAGATCTGAATAGACTTATAGAAGATCTTATTAGTACGGTGATTCTTCAAAGCTCTAGGGACTATCTCTATCGTATTTCTACACACGAAGTAAAACTCTTCAGAGTCTATATCTTCAGTGGACGGCCATTTGTTATAAGAGCCTTCCAGAAATATTACAGCGACCTTTCAATACATTTCCTGGCTTCAGCCTCAAAAAACTGATACCTAGCTCCTTGACATCTCTCTCTTCAACTCTAAAATTATAACTCAAGGAAACCATATCCCAGAAATCCAAACACTAAGAAAAGAAAAAAGATCCCTGAACCAAAAAACCCGCGATCATGGATTGTCCCGCACCCGCTGCCTTCCGAGCCGCGCTGCCAGATCCAAGTAGAGAGCTGGTGCTGGAAATTAAGGGGGGGTGTTCTTCGCTGTAAATAAGCAAATTTGGAACACCCTTCTGGGCAAGGGATAGTTCGGTGGTCATCGTATTCTATTTATATACTTCATAAACCCAGAGGCCCCAGTCAACAAGGTCAGTAGATGAAATCAAATTGCTCGGTTCGCGGAAGATAGATAATTTCCCGACGAGCTCCTTCGTACTCATGGTATGGAATTAGCCCGAAGATATTTGGGCTTTAAATGATAATGTTATGATGGATTATTTGATAATCTCGGGATGGAGAGCGCCTCTTACATATATGGAATTACGGAGGATATCATGAAGGCTCAGTAGGGCGAGGGCATTGTGATTGAGATGGACAATGATAGAAACCTACTTTGAGCTAGGAGAGTAGAGGTAAAAGTTTGGACATCTGGGAAACTATTGTAAGACAGTTGGGCAAGACTCTGGACACACCTTTGAACCCCTTTGAACCCCTATTGTATTAGAGTTCCTAGAGCGACAAACTCAATTTCCTTGAATTACTTAGGTTAATAAAGATATCTTGGTTTTTATTACCCTAAATCGCACGGAGAACCATTTGACTTGTACGAGACTTTTGAAATAATATCATTTTCTTAACCTAGGTGTGTCTAGAGTTTCGCCCAATTGTCCTGTTAATCTTTAATTGTCTTTCATCAAAATCGGTAAAGAGAATATTTCAAGCATCAATCTTCTCCCTATCCCCTACGAGGTATTTTCTTCTCTCTCAAAGGGCAATGTAATATTGTTCATCTTCAAGCTCTTGATGACGCTTTTGAGTCGTGTGAAGGAGTTCATCTCGTTTATCACATATAGATTAAGGGTTTCTACTGAAGCGCTGGCAAATGTGGCTTAGAGTGTTTGAATCTACATCTAAATTTGTTACTGGTGCTGTTTAATTGTTTATAAAATATGCTGGCATACTAGTTGGACTTTATATGCAAAACTCTTATATGAACAAATGGGTGATATTGCCACATTCTACTCAGAAGCGTTGATTCTGGTGCAGATACTAGATAAAGCCCGACTTAATAATTATTAAAGAAGATCTTCTTATCTTGTTTATACACACGATGCCAAATACTCGAATACACGTACAGTTCAAATGGTTCACAAAACAAGTCAAGGTTCAACATAGCTATGTCTAATCTATATTAGCATCTTACTACAAAGCTTGTACCAACTCAATTCAGCATAGAGCAGTTGAGCACAATCAGACTGTATTGGTCTTCATCATTCGGAGCGTCTGAGATAAATATGATCATTTGTTTCTCGAAAGTTCGGTTCAACATTCCCCAAGGATCTATCCAAGATGACCCAAATGTGATATCAACTCTTGAATGCCGAACCTCCGAGAATCTTGCAATACGAAGACAGTGAAACATGAGGCGATGCAAGAGGCGCAGATTACATACAAAACTCATCAGAGGCGCAAATGAAGTCGCAAGATATAAATGGTAGGCTGGCGTATCGAGGTTTCATGACGTGGTTGTCGTACACTCTTTACGTGGCAAGCCCGCCAACACCGGGAATATCCCATTGGTTTCCCTCCCCGCAACGACCCCTTTTCCGTTACTTCGTCCCGTGCCTAACAAATGTTAAAATCTAGTGGGTTTACAACGTATCTTTCATATTGTTCAGCGGAATTCAGGGTGAACACTCCACTGAACATTAACATTTCGTTATGCCTGGGACGAAGTAAAATAGTCTAGAGTAATTTCGATACGGAGCAAGTATATCGTACACGCATGGGCCCCACTAAGACCTCACACCCTTCGCCTAAGACACCCTACAATTTGCACTCGTACTACGGGAAAATAGCCCTAATGCGGTTAGCGGAACGCGGGTAATGTAATTCAAGCGGCGCAAGCTGCGTCACTCAATCTCGACAGGGCAGGGCCATCACATCCACGTCCCGGCCCACGCCCACGCCCACGTCCACGCTGCGGCTTCGGACGGGATTACCTGAGTGCGACCTCTGATTGGTAGTAACACTTCCCGAGTAATTTCTCCGACTTGTCTCGCTTAGAGGGAAGGAAGGGAGGGAAGGGAAGGGAAGGGGGGAGAGGTGCACGGCGAGGGGGAAATACCCAAGACGTCCCTGCAAAAGATACGAGCCAGCATGTGTACTCGCCTCGCCTACGGGTAAGCGCAGTGCAGCACAGTGCAGTGATATGAGCTTTGTTTTCAACGACGTCGTCTCGCTTCTCTACCCCCCACCCTCACCTATCGCAACTACATGTACGAATATACGAAGGTACGAAAGTTGCGGAATAGCAAAACATCATCAAAGCATGCTGTGGCCCAAACTCTTACTTGGTGCTGTAAGTTCAACCTGTCCATCGTATCCGCAGAGCGTCCCGACTCCCGAACATTGGCGTGGGCGTGGGCGTGGGCGTGGGCGTGGGCGTGCAAGTTGAGCGACCACCACTTCATCCCGTGCGCACGGCGAAAGAGAGGTGCACGGAGAACAGCAAACTTCTCCGCAAGAGGAAATCGCTTCTGCTGGAAGTTGCATTAGTGCTCTAGTGGACGCCACCATCCTGGATATCTCCCATACTTCGTCCCAGGCAGGCGAGATCAATTGTAACTTTCCTAGGGTCGCTCATGGTACACTAAGGTTGGGCAACAGGGTACCGTAAGAAACCCCCTGGAAAGGTTACAGTACAGTACAATTGGAAGTTACCAGTATTTCGCCTGGGACGAAAGGACTTACTTCTACAACGGCACACCACGAACGAAAACAGGAAAAAAACGGGGAAGCGAGATCCAGCACTTCGGCTCTCCCAGATTGACTTTCCAGATCTCGGCTAGGATCCATGCGTCCCGTCTCTTCCCCAGGATCGCCGGTGGCGTTCGATATCGAATTGTTGGGCTTTGGGTTTGGCTACAGTATTTACTTTGCGGTAACCGTTATTCAACGATTAGTTGAAGCTTAGCTTTGTGTCTGCAAGCGCCTGACAGAAGGTAGAGTCGAAGTGGCAGACCAAACATTAAGAGAATCCAGCCCCATGAGTGAGGAACTTGTCCACATTGATGATGATGCCGTACTACCAAAATCGAATTGGGCCAAAGAATTCCGTTGCGTCAACGTACTCCGTGCATCCTCGGCGGCCTGCAAACACATTCGAGTACATTACACAAAAAGATACCTCATCATACCTACACGCGGCTAGCCCGTACTAGATTCGCGTTCACCTCCTCTGTTGGCAACACTGGCGCCCTGGGAGACAAACTTCCCGCCCACCCGCAAAATCCAAACCAGTCTAATCTTCCAAACCAAACACACTCGACGTCTCGACTTCGCCCGATAATTCAAACTCCTTCCATACAGTACTCCCAAGGATCAGGATGACCAGAACAACGACAACACGAACACGAACACGAGCCAACCAGCTCCGATTCGTTCCTCACGCAACAGAAAGGGCTCAACCACAACACCACCCATCACACTCGACCAGCAACCCATTCCCAAAACATCGCAATCAAAACACCACACAGGAGTAGTACGAAGTAAACCAAGTTTTACACACCCAGCATCATGCGATGAATGCACTAACGCCCTCTCAGGCACTAGCAAACCCCAACGACCACTCTCATCTTCCTTCTTATTCCGTGCCCGAAAGCCTAGATCATCTGTATCTTCATCCTTGAACTCGGTGAACGGAATTCCCTTCTAAGTTCTAACAAGCTCAATCAGACCAAAGCACACTTTATGCTTAAATGCCTTTGCGTGGTTGGAGTGAGATCTCAGCCCTACAAAAACTATACCTCCGAACCAAATACACCACTAAACGGATGAAAACCGTCTGACGGCCGTTCGTATGAACGTTCGTCACTACCATACCGGTAGTTTTCCGTTCTCTGGACTAGCCTTCCCGGGCTCTCGTCGTGGGGGCGACAAGAATTCCGAGTTTTGGAGTCATACTCGCTCGCTAACACTGGCGGATTTGAGGTGATGATTTTGTACTGAGAGAGGCATCGAGAAATGAGACGTTTGTGCTTGTGACATATTTTTCTTTTCCATTTTTACTTTGAAAGTGCAAATCTACAGACACCCCTAGTAGCATCAATACCTTTTAATTCAACAACATATCGTTCCCACTCACGCACTTTTTGCCCACCGAAAATCATCCCTCTGGACCCCCTTCGTCTAAACATACATTTCTAAATTACAAAAATTATTCTGGCTATACCTTGAGGCATGTCGAGAATGTCGAAAAAAATAAGTAACCCGTCGGTATCAGTTGCACTGTAGCGAGCGTATGGCTGCCTTCCGCTCAAACCCGGTGCTAATAGACAGACACCTTTCCAATATACCATACCATGCTTTATGCACCCTTGGTGACCAACCATATCCATGCGCCAAACTAAACAATTTCCCCATACAATGAAAATGAAATTCGTCGAAAAAGTGCGAGGAGCATGCACTTTCCCATGCAAGGAAAGCCCAATGACTTAAATCACTGAGCTATTAGGAACTGCCTGTGCTTGCCCACTGCTGCTGTGGGGCCATGTAGTGTCCATGACCAGCGCTTGCGTTTCCCATCGGCCAGATGTTCTCCTTCAAACTCGGACTCTCGACCCCGCTGTAGGCATGCGCTGGGCGATCGAAGGATGGGTGTTGATGTGGGGTAGGCAAAGATCGGGCGGGTTGCAAAGGGAAATTTTGGGGAGCGTGGCCGCCTTCTCTATAGCTACCATAAAAGCCTTGCGAGGCATATCCAGAGTCATTGCTGACCTTGGAATCTGCGGATGTAGTAGAGATGCCAGATAGCCCCGAATCTGTCGAGCTGGTCTGGTCATAGATTGAGGAGCGGCGCTGAAACTGTGTTGAAACTGGTGTGATTTGGTCGCGAGAAGACTCCGAGTTCATGCCTGGTACGACAGAGTTGTATCGTGGTCTGTATGCACCCATGTCATACTCGGACTTAGGTGGTCCTGTGTAAATTCCTGGTGATGGAGCGAATTGGCCATTGTAGCTGCTAGCTGCTGAGTGCGACGAAGGTAAACCATCATATATACCAGAGCTGCCCATGCCGTAACTGCCGTACATGCTGGAAGATGGGTATGGAATAGGAGGAGTGGGTAAAGACATGGCACGGTTTGATATGCTTTGGTTGGTCATCTCGTAGCCGTTCCGAACGTATGGATACGCGCTATAGGCAGCCCGGTCTTCGATTCTGTCCATCGAATCCACTTCATCAATCGGCGTCCGGAAATTTTGCTTGGTGATGAGATCTGATCGAGGTATAATGTGACTGAATCTGTGATCCTTGGAAGGGGTATTGAGTTTATTGTTCATCACATCTGCGACTGTGTAGTAGGAGACGAGGTGGTGAGAAACGCCTCCTACAGTGACACTGACGGTCTTCTTTACTAAGCCTTCCTCTTTGAATCCGTATGAATCCACCAGTGAGCCGATTAGTGAACGTTCAGTCTCTTTGCTCAGGGAACTAGACGAGGTGGAATCCAGGTATGAACTAGTAGTGGTAGCCACTGCGTAGTTACTGTTGACTGCTGGGCCAAATGGCTCTTGTGTTTTGCTGATGCCCGGTGACCGCTTGCTGCGCTTCATTGCCCGCTTCTTCTCTCCCGGAGGAAAGGGACGCTCAAGTTCACGATAAACTAGAAAGTTCCCCAAAATTCGGCTGGGACTCCATGGCACACCGTCTGTCCACCTCTTAATACCGGAAGAGTGCTCCTCATAGATGAATACATTTCCACTTCTGATCAAGCTCGAACGCTCACGGTCGTGTGGTCTGCGTGCAACGTGGTTAAGGGCGCCACTGAGACAGGCCTCAAAGAGCAGAAGAGCGTCCTGGGTAGAGGCAATGTGCCCGTGAAAGGTTGGAGAGAGTGGTGAGGCAGAAGTCATGATGGCTGAATCCCAGGAGCTTGAAGGTAGAGGTGTGTAGTCTTCTTTCCTATGGTGATGACTAGAAAAAGAGTGTTGGCATTAAAAGCGCGGATGGATCCGATGGGAAGGTTGAGCTTAAAGAAGGTATATGGACGTGGGGTGGTCGAGCTTATCAAAGCTTTGGCTGTTGGCGAAAGGCTGTGGAAAGATTTGGTAGAAACAAGCCGTTCGGACCGGGTCATTCGAGGCGACGATTATGCCTTGTGCTATCTTCTGCAGGTGGCAGCTAGGACGACGAGAGTGTCTGAGGTGGGAGGAGAGACGGTAAGTGCCGAACTTTGATACAACCGTGCAGAGATGATGGGAGGAAAGTATGCGCAGAAGAAAGCCGTTGGGAGTAGGGTTGAAGGGAGGGAAGGGGAAGGAGGGCGAGGTGATGCTGGTGATTGCCTGCTCTGGTTGCCCTGCGTTGTTTTGCTTGCTTGACCCGACTTAAGCCAAACAGAGACAGCCAAAGACAATGTAATGTGGAAGGGGGCTGGAGGAACTCCGGTGCTGGCCAGGGTATCGGTGCTAGCCAGGGTATGATGGAAGAGCGATATGAGGAGGGAAAGAGCAGGCAGAAGCAGACGGGGAGTGGGAGAGGGAGAGGGAGTGGGAGTGAGTGTGGGACTGGTGAAGGTCGCGGCTATCTTTGTATACAAAGAAGGATCTTGGGGAATGTGGGCCCAAAGCAAAATAGAAGTGAGCAGGCAGTGGCAGGGCAGGNGGAGTGAGTGTGGGACTGGTGAAGGTCGCGGCTATCTTTGTATACAAAGAAGGATCTTGGGGAATGTGGGCCCAAAGCAAAATAGAAGTGAGCAGGCAGTGGCAGGGCAGGTGTGAGGGGAGGCGTGGAGGGAGTGTGCAGGTGCAGGTGGGTTGTTGTGGGTTGGGAGTTGGGTCGGGGTAGTACCTGTAGTGGAGGAGCCCAAGACCAACCCTGGAGGAGGCCGACTAGGAGTAGGGTTACCCGTGGAAGGCTCGAAGTCTCTGCAGATGAACGGGGTCTTCGGCCAGGGAAGCCCTAACGCGGCGGAGCAGAGGGTGCAGCTATCGATGGATGGGCGATGAGCAAGCGATGAGCTCTGTGCTGTGCTGTGCTGTGCTGCACAGTGCTGCACAGTGCTGCACAGTGTGAGGTGAGGTGTCGATGGGTGCGTCCGTTGATAGCGCTCGGAGGGTTGTTGATGGCCGCTCTTTACCGTTCGTAGCGTAGCTAGCTAGTGGTCGCCGTGTCGTGGTGCTGGTGGACGAGATGAGATTGGTAGATGTTGATGGCAGTAGTGTACGGTAGTGTCGTTGGCCCACCCAATTGGATGGCGGTGGCGGTGGCCGTGGGTTGAACGCTTGATGAAGATGAGGATGGCTCGGTTTCTGCAACTATATCTCGTCTTCGCCTTGAAAAAGACCGGACGAAGGACAATATTGAAGTTGAGTGTGGCTGCAGGTGGTAGTGGTTGTGGTAGTGGTGGCAGTCACAATGGGTGAATGCGAGGGCAGGAGGACGGAGTAGGCGCAGACGCTGGTAGGCGCGATGCGATGAAGAAGCAGAGGACGTGAGCTGGGGAGAAACCACGTGCAAGTTCTCGCTGGGCACCTCTCTAGGTAGCTGGGGGAATTTACTGCTCTGAGTACTCCGTACCAATCTGCACAAAAACCACGCAAGTTGCGCCGCGGCTCTCTTCGAGGACGAGGAAGAGCTCAGACAGGGCTGGATGCATCTGCATACGAGCGAGCCTCTGGTGATTTCCCGAGCGGTGCTCGCTTGCTGCTCGTCGTCACTACGCTCGAGTTCGGGTTTGAGTACAGTACTCCGCGCAGTTCAACGCACTTCGAGTAGTGAGTAAAGGATGTTGGATTTTGCGTCTAGTGCTCACGTTGCCGGTAGTTTCAAAAGGCTGGCGAGGGTGTGGTGGTGAGGTTGCAGATGCAAAGCGAATAGGCGCCACGCAGCTTTTATCACATCACCACCACTCAGACTCTCGTAGAGAGGGACACCCCGCACAGGATACACACTGGCACGAGCTGGGAGCCGTATACTCACGCACTCATTATCATGCCGTCTCCGTACTCTACGCAACAGGCCAAGGGCGACGATGACGGCTCATGGGTGAACGCCTGAAAATGTGAAGCTGCCGAGGAGGAGATAGAGGTAGGGTAGGGGATGGTCTCATGGGGTTTTTTGCTTGCCACGATATCGATGGACCTCCACGATACATGGGGATGGAGTGGGACTAGATGATTGGCAATCGAATGAGGGTGTGTTTGAACGAGCTTGTCTACCATGGAGGCAGGGTGGAGCAGGGGGAGGGCACCATGACTTGTCTCAGATACTTCTACTTCGTACAAGTCAGAAGATAGAGCACGGCAGATGAAGTTGGTGATGGTATTCGTAGAACATCTAAATCGGGGATTCTCTCGACTCTGTAGGGGCTTTGCTCACAGACCTTTCAAGAGGCATTTGAATGTGATAGATTGCCTTCAGATGTTGCCATTTCGGGCAAGCGAAAGACTTGGAGTTGGTCGATGCTGGGCACACAATGGCACAACGGCGAAGGCTGGCACTACGGAGTCCCAAGGCAGTTACTGCAAGAACATGGTCTAGGTTCCGAGAAATAACGACGACGCTTAAAGGGGGGACGCTGTACTTCACTCGCCAAGCTAGCATGTTAGGCCCTTCTCTACCAGGAACACGCATGGCTGTTCTGGTCCCCAGTTTCCCATTTCACATTGTTTTCTCAACTTCTATTTCCCAACCCCCATATTTAACACAACTAGTCCCACAGGTGACCATGTTCAAGGTTGCAGGGTTCGAGGCCGGGAGAGGGGAGGTCTGAGACTTGGGCATCGCCCGGCACTCGTGATGACGAAAGCAAAGGAAGTATCAACCGCGATCTCCGAGAGCTTTGGCACAGTGAAGTCTGGGGTTTTGGAATTTGAGAATAATCTGAGAGTCCGAAAAGATGATATTTGAGTCACTATTCAGGGGGAAATGGCCTGCACTTCTTCCTATGCGCCATTATCATGTAGACGACAGTACCGCCGAGAAGAAGTAGCGCTACCAGCAGCGTTGAACTACCGCTGCACTTGCTTCTGATCCCGTCTTGAGCTCCACTGCTCATTGGATTATCCTTCGAATCTGGAACTTGGTCGATGAAGAGGTTGTGGGCCGTCGAAGACTGGCTTTCCCACCAGCACCGGCCACAGGAGCACAAGGGTTTCTGCCGGTATTGCTGTCACTTGTTTGATTGCGACCGGTTGCCGTAGATCGATGTCCCCCGTCAAGTGGGTTCAAGCCGTCCCATTGATCGCACCGTCTCCACCCGGAATTTGCCGTTCCAAAGAGGACTTAGTCTGAGTACCAGAGGAGCGCTTATCGGAGCAAGGTAACTCCAAATCTTGAGAATGATAACAGGAATATTATCGCTAAGAATCATGATGTGACAACTGCTTTCAACCCTAGCACAATATGGTTCATCGAAATATTGCCCAATTTTGCATGCAAATTGACCTGTCAGTGTTGCTATTTTAATCCACGGAGCATGTCACTCGAGACTCCACTCATCCCACAGGGCTGCGCCGGCTAGCATGAACAATGCCCTTGTCCATACGGAACATGTCCGCATCACTCCGTAATCGGTCCTGTCCAAGTATCCAGAAAATTTTGCATTGAGGTTGTAATGCCTGGTGAAGCTGGTATGGCGTGCTAGCCGAGATGGCACTCCCATTAAATATCTCATTCAGAGAGATTCGAATGGAAGACAATAATCACAACGAGGCTGGATACATGCTGCCAAAATCCACATCCGACGGAAGATCTACCGCACTGTTGTAATGATTTTGTTTCATCCGTATATGATATGTTTGGAGGAAAGCGCGAGAGTCGTCAGAACAGCTCCATGCTCCGTAGAGTGCAGCATAATGCTGTTCGTCGTACCACAGGACCCGCCGGACCACCCGAACGCGTCTTTGGACGAAAATCTGGTCAAGACTGATCAGGGGAGAGCACCAGTTGGGGGAAACGACCCACCCAGATAATGGAATTGAACTTCGAAGTATTTTTCAAAGCTGTAGCTACAAGGTAAGTAAACCTCTATGAGCCGAGAAACACGAAGGCTACCGGGCGCTAGAATGTGATTTGGAGCCTCGAATAAGCATAAGATCCTGAGCGAAGTTAGTTGGACTCGCTTAGAATAGGGAGAGCTCGGCTGGATAGAAAAACAAAACAAAACCAGCAATCACTGTGAGATATCAAAGCAGGGATTGATTTGGGGGCGAAAGAATGGGCAAAAGCTGTATCCCGCGAATGTTGTGCGTAGCATTTCTCTGGTATTTGGATTGTATTGAATATACCATTGACAGAATCAAACTAGCGGGCGACTCAGTGATAGGGAGTAGTTGGTGACAGCCGCAAGGCTGCAATAGAGTTTAGTGCCCGATGTTGCGGAGAACCCTGGAGGTGCTACTGCGAACTGCACGCGGCTTTGGAGTCTGGATGACAATATCGTGCTGCCCAGGCTTAGAAAACTCAATTGGCCAGTTCTCAGTGGTGTGGTCCCACGGAAGACAGAGATTAGGTTTGAACGACGAGATCGCGCTTCCCACAAATTGTTTTTCCCCCGCATTTTGCAAACATGTGCCGGGTTTTCGAGGCCAAGTGCAGGTAGGCTTTTGTTGAAACACTTCCAGGGCCTGGACATTTGTTCCCCTTGCCCAATGGGGAATCTGCGCTCTACCATTTTCTCAACACGGCCACCCCGAACCTGAGAACCGTCGATCTTGCAGAAGATGGTGGTCCTGAGGACCTGATGGGTTTGTGAATCGTGATGTGCTGAGGTCGTGGAGAAAGTCAGAGATTCAGGCACAAGAACTATAAGATTGTCGTGTAACGCTAATCATAAGAGATCGCTTGCAACGCCCATAGGACGAAAAGGATATGTTTACTCCAGCGCAAGCGCAAGCGGCACTTCTCTCGTCGAACGCTAACGAGCACACCCGTTCGTGTCTTCGGACCACGGATATGAAGTCATTGATGGCAAGTCCGGCTGACCCCTACGGAAGACGACGACTTCCATCCGATGTGACTTCATCTTGACGCGGCAGGACTCAGGCAGCGGATTTGGGAAGTACGAAGCACAAGTATGGTATAATTGCAGTGTACTCTTCACCCATCCCCCGTCATTCACTCGGTGCGAAGTTGTAGTTCCGTATGCGAATCCAGCGGTGTAGTGGCCCGTGTGGTGTTGGAAGCAGGCTTGTGAAAATTCCGAAAATTCTCAGCTGCAGGAAGTAGGCCTCCGAGGTGGTGTGGGATGGGCATGATATGGTCTGAGAGCGTTATCGAAGCACTATTCCACCATGTACAGCAGAGTAGGAGTAGAAGCAGCTAACATGACAATGTTGTTTCCGGCACTCAGTAGTCACCGTCAGACGCGGTTGGCGCTTCACGGACATCCAGACAAGCGTGGCGTGGGCGTGGCGTGGCGTGAGGTGCTGGTGGGTAGTGCAGTCAAGGAACAATCTCCTTGGGTCTTCACCCCGAAAAACAAGGCAACCATCCTCTCACGTGACCCTGCTTGGAAGATACCAAAATAAAGATTTGTGTGGTATCCTTATCCTTAATTCGTCATCTAACGCCCTCCATATTTACTTGCACAGACTTCAACTTACGACTACTCCGTAAGGCAATTAAACATCAGCTGTTGCCGGAAATCTCGGTCTCTTGAATTCCCTCTTGCATTCCGGAAAACGAAATCGGCAACAAACTTGAAATGGTATACCGGAAGACTTACCGCTATGTCAATTGTGAATATCGGCATCTACTTTGCCTAAACTTGCTTGAAGCAAGCGCAACGGAATCCATCTCCTCGCTAGTCTTTCCTGGCTACAATCCGCTCTAGGTAGCCAACTTTGAAAAAAAATACAACACAGTGCCGAAAAGCGGTGAGCTGAAGGATCGAGCGAACATTTGGCCGCCGTTCTCGGCCGAATGTGCCATTCCCGCCACAATAATCAATGATATTAATTCTGCATGTGCATGGAAACTGCTGCAATCGGTTAATGCATGATGCGGATATCGATTACTGTAAATGGTAGCCAACTTGGACGGACCACATCTGGCACAAAACTACCTATAGGTACCGGTAGTTGTGTTCATGCTAATTTACCTAGAAATCAACCAAAAATCATATTTTACCAGCCCTAACTTTTAACCCTAATCTTAACCCTAACCCGTCTCCCTCTAATTCTAATCCTAATGGTAAAAATTACAAGGTATGGTTGTAGTATTTTAGTAGTGGAGGAGGCGTGAGAAATCTTATAATGGCTGGTGCGTGGGCGTGGTGGGCTTGTACAGGCATTATTTTTGCTAAGTACTTTCTTTACTGCCGTGTTCGACAGAATGTCTCTCCCAAGGCAGCAAGGGCGATGGATTTGAATACAGAGAATTCTGCGAAGTGCTGTACCGAGTATGAAAAAACTCATTGAGCGACCTTCAAACTGTACCATCTTACAGCCGGAACCCTTCCAAAACACAATAGGGGCCCTATAACAGAAATTTATTATGGTCTTAAGTTTGGCGTCCTCCATGTACCGATTCACAACGTGGCAGCCACGATGTGTTGCGTCTTACTTCGTAGAGGCTCCTGGGTCTGACCAAAGCAGTCGATATACTTCGTGCGGAAGAACCATTGGAACGTTCCGGCTGCTTGTCACCAAACCCTCCCTATCCAAGACTTACGAGGCTGAATTCGCCTTGTGAATCAGCCAGACGAACGGCCTTTACTGGCCTTTGACAATCTTGCTGCACTAAGGCCGCGCTCCGTGAGCACATGAATTTACTTCGCATTATCTTCCCAAAACTCCAACCCCCATTACTACCCTCCATTGATCCTATCTATCCCAAAACCCCCTGTCATCTCTTACTGCATTGTGTATACCCCAATATCTAACTTCCAATGGAGATCGTGGGCACATGCCTTCTCTTCCTTACGTGAAGCTCATCACTTATCAAAGAAAGGCCGATCTACCGAGGAGGAACGATCTCAGCCAAGAAGAATGACCTCAATATCGCGGGGAGTTCAGGGAAATACCCACTATCCCCGCTTTAATCATGAGGGTTGATAGGTGGTGGAGTTCAAGAAAGATATCGGACTCTATACGAACATCGCGACTTCTGAGGCCCAAAAGTAGTCTCTCAATTGTGATAGGTTCACCATTTTTGGTACCAGAAGAAGACAAGGTAATTTTACATTTACGCGGTCGAGACAGCTGTTTCCAGGACGGTGTGTGCCAAAAGGAGCGATTTTTTGAAATTTCCGGTAGGACTATTTGCGAAGCAGTGTCTATCAAGACGGCCTCTCCACCGCGGAACTTTCCAAATGCAGAAGTATGATCTTTCTACCAGTTTGTCCCAGACGACATAATTGTAACTTTCCTAGGGTGCCTAAGGTTCGCAACTGGGTAATACCCCCTGGAAAAGTTTCAATCATCTCGCCTGGGAGTCTGGGATGAAGTATACTTTCCCATGCGAACCCATACGAAATACGGATTCTGCACCCAAGACTTCTCAAGAGACTAAGTCGCCTAGGAAGCCTTAGAAAAGAAGAATGACGTTTGCTTGTACAGGAATTGGTAGTTCGCGGCTTGACGGCTCGATAAACCGTAGCGTGATGCTGCACAATCGCATTGGGTTAGAGTGGCACCAAATATCCAAAGTCTCATCTTTTGGCTAATCTTGTACTATGCATCTTCTAGTCCTAATTAACCGAATGTTTCACAGTCATAACATCGAAGCAAGACGAAGGTTTGTGAACCCTGAGCCATCTTTACCTTACCGAAGTCGGAGGGTCAGACCTGGAATACACAGGGTCTACTTTGTAGTGTAGTAAGCCAGCGGGGTGTGTCCTTCGGGACTAGGTAGCTGGGTAGAATTAAACATTGACCATTTACCCACACTTCTTTTATCGGTACCGGGTCCTGAGAAGAGTCTCTAGGTTTGCCTAGTTTGCTGAGTGCAAAAAACTTAATAAAATGCTCATACAAACGACTGTGCCTGTAGTTGAGTAGGGGTATTGAAGACCCTGAAAACCCAGAGACCACTGATTCGTTTCTACTTCGTCCCAGGCGAACTAATTGTGGGTCTGCTAGGGTGGCTAAGATTGGCAACAGGTAAAACCCCCTGAAAAACCTACAATTATTTCGCCTGGGACGAAGTAGGTGGTATAAGCTACAGTAGCTTGAGGCACTGAGTTTATGAAGTTTTCTTTGAGCTAGAACCATCCGTAAATTCGGTGAATTGACGCAATAGATAGGTTCGTACCGATGCTTCGAGTCTACGGAAAGTCTTAAAAAGAATGCTTAGGAGTAGAACACTTGTCAAAATGGCCGATACGTTTCTTGTCAAACTCAGGTCTGCTCGAGTACACAACCCTGCTTCCAAAATTCTCCGGTCCACGTTTCAGTACCAGGTTAGCTACGCCCCTCTCTAAAATACCACGGTTCTCGCCCGGCGTACTCTTCCCCCGGAACGACCATTGGGATCGGTATATGACCTTTGAATATATCGATATCAGAAGGCCCATCGTGTTCATTCACATCAGTGGCATCTCTAGGGATCTGAATAATGACACCGCATTCCCAATTGCGGCAGGTAATCTTGAGATCTTTTGTCGTCTTGTCTTTCGAAATATGTCCCCTTCAACACAAATTCACCCATTAGCATATTGTCATTACAATTTCATCTCAACAGGGAATGCCTCTGAGCGGGAGACGGGAAGGATGAATGATATAGCGTTCCATCGTAGCATGTGGCAAAAAGGTAGAATGGCCTAGTGCACGTTTGTCTTTCTTGCAGATTGGATCCGTCATGATTCGAGAAGTCTCAGCTGGATAGGGCATACATCTCCCGTCCGGTTAAAAGTGGAAGTGGTATGAACCCTCTGGCCAGACAGGAAACGATTGCACGGCGCTACTGCTGTTGAAAGTTGAAACTTAATCAGACGATCAAGCAGTCACATGCAGGAAAGGTTGAACTGTCAACGACAGAACTCAAAAAAAGAAAAAGAAATACCGGACATACCAAGCAGCTTCGGACAAATTTGCAGAACCCACGTAGGCCCAGGCCTTCACGCCATTTCGAGTAGGCTTATGAGGTCTCACAAATATCATTTTGCTGTGCATCATAACACCGGGTCTAAGGCTGCTTTTGCAGTCGCGCATCAGCTCGCGCGGAAATGTATCCTTTTCGTAATATTGTCGTTGGATACAAATCGTACCACCAGCCTACAAGGTATGTCAATGCTCACTCAGTGCTCAGTGCCCATAATGAGCACCAGTTAAATCCAAGGTAGTTAAACTTACGCCAAGACCACCTTTACTGTTTGCAACGGTCTCCTTGGTGGGGAAGTAGAATCGAAAGTACTTTTTTAAGTCGTCCGTGAGTTTACGTTCGACTGCCGATTCCGCATTGTTTTTGTTCTTGGAGGATTTGTTTGTTCTCCACTCGTACTCCATCATTCCGCTGTCGCCTAGAGAACGTTTTAACGTCAGCATATTCCAAGTTGATATTCCCAGCCACAATATCCGACATCAAGTGTCCTGGAAATTCGGACCGGAATGACCGGGACTTCTCGCGCTCGAATGTCAATTTTGTGAGCTTCCTGGGCTGCGCAGTGGGCGACGGTGTTCACCCAAATTTGGTACGAGTGCAAGACAAGCCGGGAGAACAACAAGGAGATAGATGTTAACATACCTTGCAATGCCAAGAATATTGCTTTGATAAAGTTGAGGTTTAGGCTTCCAATGGACGATGCCTGTAGCAAAATCAGTCAACAAAGTTCGGCCAGGGGTGGAAATTTAGAATCTGAAAGGAAGAAGCCGTACCAGCATATCGACATGTAAGGCTATTTCGGATTTTAAACCGAGTTCTCGAACTGCTCTACCAAGACCAGCATACCCTGTTCGCTTCAGATCCGAACCGCTATGAGAACCCCCTCTGTTCACAGACGTCAAGTCAGAATGATTTGCGTAGTTTCACGGTAGTATCAGGCCTAAGGTATATACATACATTGAATGGACAAAGGCCAGTGGCTCAGTGCGTGAGAAGTCAAATCTTCTCAAGCTATCTATGATTCCTTTCTCAAGTCCCATAGCTTTGAGAAAATGCATCAACTCAATAGCAAAGAAGGTTCCGGGGTCAGCCTCTCTGCGCTGCGGGTATCTGGGTAGATCGATTAAGAAGCATACCTAGTCCCAACATCAGCTTAGTCTAGAACATAATCATATGAAATTGCGAGCGCGACTTCTGCTAAGGTGAAATCTGTTGTTCCTAATGTGCCAAGAGTGATTGGTGTTCTAGAATGCCAAGATTGATTCATCCTGCTCGCTGTCCAGACAATAATGCCATTTTTGCTGGATACCAAGAACAAGTCATTGGCTTTTTTATATCAAGGTGAGACTTCGCTACCAGTGGATTTTCTGGCTAGGAAAGGGCATAATGACGATGGCCTTATTCGTGCCAAGCTGATACTGGATATTTATGCCAAGGGTTCAATATAGACTTACATTTTCCATAACTCCGCCAGCTCCCCAATCATAAGGAACCAGATTTGCGCTTGGCACCACAACTCGTAAGTGTGTCGAATGCGCCAACAGCTGGAGCTTTGAATGCATACAATTGACATTCCCTTGCATTGATGGGAAGCAAAATCGATAGTTGTCTGGTGCATCAGATCGGTAGTTGGCTTTCTAGGAGCTGTCAGTTTCCGACCGTGAAAATGCATAAGAACTTTCTCCGATTAAATCAGCAAAGTTTTGAGCATATCAGTTTGGTCCATTTTTTTTACTTTTGAAACGTCATAGAGGTTGAACTGCCCATGGCCATTGAGTTCTTGACTTGGTAGGTCAACAAGTTCCTTTCCATTGCGATGAAGAACGAGGCAGAACTTTAATGATGCAAATTCTTTACAAAAGACGCATAGACCGAGACCGCTAAGAGCTGGTTCAAGAATGACCGAAAGGCTCGATGGGAAGTCTCCAGAGTAGATGTGGAGTTGGGACGGAGAACTGTATGAGAATTGCCAGCAACTTACTTCGGCTTCTGTCTTTGCTTGTAACACCCATACAACTCTGGTTCGTTCATTGAGTTTTGGGCGTATCCAGTCAGGGTCGATTTGAAAAGCGGATAGCACCGCAAAATCCAAAGTATCTTTCTGTAAAACCTCTTCTATTTTGATATCGTCGCCACGGCGAGGGTAACCGTAAGCCCACGTTCTCTTCACAACCCCCTCTGGATATTGGATACCAGAAGAGTCCAGGTTTTGAGCTCTATAGGACATTATTTCTGATAATTTTCCTGCGTTCTCGTAACTTTTCGAAGTTGGCTCATCGCGTTCCTCGTTTCGCATCGCCTGAGACGAGTCTTTTGGGCCTGTAGCTTCCGCGGGGGGATTGCGATAAGAATTCTGGCTTCCTGGGAGGGATTTCGAAGTCGGGCGATGAATGTCAGAAGAGACAAGTGAAGACAACGTGTAAGATTGCTTCGGAATAATCTGCTTTCCTTCTCGGGGGAGCGTATCTGCAGGAGGGCTGGTGGCCTTTCTCTTCTTGGAGCTTTGGGAGGCATCCGAGTCACCCGCGTCTGCTTCTTGCATTCTTTTCCGTGCTCTTGCGAGTCTTTCCTCTTCCATCTGCTTTCGATTCAACATTCCAAGGATACCAGATGTTTTGTACTCAGCTTCGACGGCCACATATGGTGGTGGTGATGGTGGTGGCTTTGACAAAATATTGTCGACTCCCCCTTCGTCTTCTATCAGATCGACGATTTGGGCACGCTCCAGCTTGTCGTTAACCGCGTGCTTTGCGGCTGGTTTGCCTGCTGAAGCTGTAGGTTTGGGTACCAGCGGCGCATCAAGATCATCGTCTTCCTCGTCGCTACAAAGATCGATCACGGGCGCGGTGCGTCTCTCTGGTTCTTCTGGTGGCTGCTCCATATCTTGCAAAGACAGGGCAATTGTTCTCTCAAGATCTTCGTCTTCGCTGTCAGACATTTTTGTGTGTGGCGGCTGCGAAGGAACGTGAGCGATGGAAAGGGTGTCGAGACAGAAATGATTCCAGTTTGAAAAGTCACTCGGACTTCGTTGCTGAATGTTCGGCCGAGACAAATGCAGAAACCGTTTGCACCTTCCGGTTAACCAACCCCTTACGGTGTTGAGTCTCTTATGATCCTGATGCTAGACCTTGTTGCTTATTGAGAGGCATTGAATCCCGGATTGAATAAGCAGGGACTTGTGTCAGAACATCGACTTTAAATGGTGAAGCGTAGACATAGTTCACAAGATGATATAATGTTGTGGTCGTGGTCGTGCGGATCTCTCCTCAGGTCGTGACGCGACGGGAACAACCTACCTACTTCACGAAGTCACGGGTCTGTCACGTGTTAAAGGACTTGAGTTCCTATTCAGATTTGGGAAAAGATGTAATTCGTTAGTAATGCAGATACCTGTAATGTTTTTTTTTTCTTCTTCACTTTTATATTCCCTATTTTGCTCAAATAAAAGGTACCTAGCCTACCTAGGTAATTACATCCTGTCCCTGTCTGGAAATCCCAACCAGGCCAACCTGAACTGCTACCTTAGAGGCTTAGCCTACCTATCTCCTAATCCCCATAGATTCTTGCAATTTATGAAACACTACACCCTTACCAGGCTGGTTCTTCGAGCTTATCCACGCGATTTTGGGCAGGTGGGGGAAAGTAGTATTGATAATTGCTTTGGTGGGCATGGTTTCCAAGCCGTCGAATTTCAGTATACGGTGCGAAGCATAACCAGCAAAACTCGTGTCGGCAACGAGAGCCTTAACCCATCAACAAAATGTACATTATGAGAATCTAGTTGAAAGCAAAACTCACAGGTAAAATGATCACACCCACTACTCTTCTGGAGATGAAATCCGCAAGCTGGGTTAGGGCAGGTCTTTGTTTTTTCCGTCAAATAGATACTGCTGGCCGCCTCCTGTCTAGCTCTTTCCTCCCGCTCAATATCAAATTTTTTTCATCGTGGCCACCATAATGGATCTCTGCGGCACATTAGCATGTGTTTTGTCCTTCCTCCAGATGACGGGGTGAGAATGGTTTTCTTGACCGCTTGTTTTAGGGCTTGCTAATAGGCCAGAAGGGTGGCACCAAAGAACAGAATACTTACGCCCAGAGCCACAGCCTGGTCCAAGACAGGGTGTGAAGAATGGATCGTCCGTAAAGGATGCCATTAAACAGTGTCTGTCATACCTGTCAAAAAGGGTGGTCAGTTAGGCACAAACCAATTATATGGGTTAGGATACCGAAGTCTATTCTCATCAGGTACTTCATAAGAAGATAAAGGATGATCACGTAGGGTTCGTTATTAGGAGCAGGCATACCGTTCAAATTCTTCCCTTGAGGCATATTTCTTTACGTCCTCGAATTGGAGTTGTTGAGGGCATGTTGGACATGTGATTCTGCCAGGAGATTCATGTATCTGTACTTCAATGCTCCTTCTAAGACATCCATTACATGTGACTACCTTATGCTCACACGAAATTGTTGGTACTTGTGCAGGAAATTCGTTAAACTCCAGATCTTCCATGCATACATCGCAGCTTCTAGTCTCAGCTATAGCAGCATGAGCGTCGAAGTTCGAGCCTGGTTCGACCTTGATGATGTTGGATTGCCGTAGAGGGGGGTCTTGAATTCCTCTGTGCCTTTTCTGCAATGAATGTTGCAATTGTACTATGTCTATCTCACCCTGCGCAAATTCTTGGAGAATGTTTCGTTCGTCCTCGTCCTCAATTTGACGTTCAGAATATTCTTGAAGTTGACGGAACAATTCTGCTTTCCGTTTGTGTCCTGGACGCAGGTTGTATTGGCGCAGGATAGGCTGTAGTCTCCGGGCGGTGAAATCGAGATAAGGTACCCCAAAAAGGCGGGTCAATTTATCAGGAGGTTCCATCTTGATAGTTTTGCAGCTATAGGACGGGAAATTCTGTATTTGTCACGCTCAATACCTTGAAGAGATGTGGTGAAGAAGAGATTTGCTCTCAGCTCGGAGCAAAGCGAGAGCAGAGGGGTAGGCTATTTCTGGAAATCGGTCGTTGTAATGCAAGGAGATCTTCGGTCAGTATCTCTACAAAACTACGGTTAGTATCAAACACTTGAAACCTTCATGTCGCCTACTTCTACTCACCGGGGGAGTAAATGCTCAGTTGAGTGATCCAACCAAAAGCAACAAATATGACGAAGTGAGGGCGAGAAATGATGTTGTAGTTTAGCAAGAACAGTCAAAAGCAAATCTAGATATTATGAATTAAGTTGTGCCGGCAGGAGCAGCGGATCCTTGAAGACTTGTGTCTCCGCCTCAAGCAAAGGGCATTCACCTTCACTTCGTCTTCGAGCCAAAGGTGAAACCATCCTTTATACCATAATTACTTCACAACTGGACATTCAAATGCTGAAACCATCAATAAGCGACTTTGTACTTCCAGTAGCGATCATGTGCGGAGTACCACTCCATCATGGACTGGAAGATTAAATCTGCTCTATTATTGCTTTGAGATCTGGAATGAAGTCTCCTATTGAATGTAAGATCATGCGTACCATTTCCTGGATATGCTCGGCTCATCAAGCTTTGATTTGAAGAATGCCTGGAGCGAAGTCATTCACTAATCAACAAGCAGGATAGTGGCTTCATGGAAAATGACCACCACGGCTTTTTGAACGATTTCCGGCGGTTCTATGATGACCAGGGTCGTACAAACTACTCCTTTCAATCACAAGTCATAGAGTAGCGACCACACTAGTTTTAAGAAAACATTTGGGAAGATTCTATCCAGCGATGAAAGAATTCAGGGTTACCCAGTGACATTCAGCCAATCAGCTCAGACAACTAAACAATAATTCCCGAAATAATTGTTTATTGGAACGCCACATGTGGCGCACAAAGTCGTGACGTTTACAAGTCTCAGCTTGGCTGTTCGACTTCCTGAATAAAAGCTTATGGTCTTTCTTTTGAGAAAACTTAAGTGAAAGACTCCGAGTACAAAACCTATTACAGTCGCCAATATGGTCGAAGGGATGACAAGAAATATTGTAATCATTGGCGCTGGGGCTGCCGGTATGGTAAGTCTTCTTTTTAAATAGTTGTCACGCACCGCTTGATGAATTTATCTTTCCAGTGAAACGACCAAAACCTTCGTCATTAAGCTAAGGAAATCCATCGTTTGGTTTTGTCTATCAATTCTCCAGATGAAATACCACGTACTGACACCATTTGTTATAGTCCTGCGCTGCCACTCTCGCTCAACATCCCGAGAAGTTTAACGTGACTGTTCTGGAACGTGCTCCGGTAACAGGTGGGCAAGCAACCTCGATATCACTTGATAAGAAAAAATATGGAACAGACTGGATGAATGATGGTGTTCAAGGTGGCTCACTGGTAGGCTTCTCCTTCCCCAGAAATGCCTATCGTCATATCATAACACCTACTCAGATTTTCAAACACACTTTAAATTTCTTCCGAAAGTATGGCCATGAACCACAAGAGATCAAACTCCAGGTCGCTTTTGGAAAAGGACCAGACGGGTTTTGGACAAATTGCTTTCCAAGCCCTCTGATTGAGCAGTTCTCCTCAGACATCAAAAAGTTCGGCAAGGTTCTCAAACTTATCAAGTGGACTCTGCCAATTCTCGGCCTTGTCCCGATCCGAATCATGCTCAAAATGTTTTTCTTCAGCAAAGACTTTGGCGATAAAATGGTCTATCCATTGATCGCTTTGTTTCTCGGAACTGGCAACCAGACTGCAAATGTTTCATGCGCCATCCTTGAAAGATTATTCGATGACCCGAATATGAAGCTTTGGGACTACGATTCTGAAACACTTTTACCCAATCTGCCAACTATGGTAACTTTCCCAAATCTGCATAACTTCTACGAGGACTGGAAAAGTGATCTCATCTCTAAAGGAGTTGACATTAGACTTGAGACTGAAGTGACGGAGATCGTCCAACGAAACAAGAATGGAGTCACTTTCAAGAGCAGACAGGTTCAAAAGGACTCAATCGGACAACAAGAAAATTCAAAAGTCAACACGGAAAAGTTTGACGATCTCGTTATGTGTGTTTTAGCCGATGACGCACTTAAACTACTAGGCAAAACCGCATCTTACAGAGAAAAGTTCGTCCTTGGTGGCGCCAGCTTCTATGATGATATAACAATCACTCATTCAGATCACGCATACTTCCAGAAACACTATGAAACACATTTTTCTGAATCTCTTTGCGCAGAGCCAAAGTCGAAGTCTCAGCGTGATCAAATTGCATTCGCGAAAGGCGAACAAAGAGGCGTGGATGACGAGCCAAGCGGGTACAGGCCAATGTACTATACGAAATCTTACAAAGAGGATCCCAAGAAGATTGAGATGAGTTTCGATTGTACCAACTATCAGCACCAATTCCGGATGGACCATGACGCCGAGATCGCCCCGGTGAAGTTTGAAAACCATGTCTTTCAAAGTATTTTCCTCGACAAGGGGAACAAGGAACTTTGGACAATTGATGAGATAGACGAGAGCAAAGTTATTGAGAAGAAGTGGTGGCATCAGTTAGGTCACAAATGGCAGCATTACGTCAGAGTGGTTCCAGGTATGTATTTTTCTGATATGGCTTTTCCAAGTAACCATATTAATGAAGATGTAGGAATGATGTTCCTGAATGGCAAGAATCGCACCATGTTTGCTGGTTCCTGGACATTGGTGGTATGTACTGTTTACTCGTCAATACCTCTCGAGATCCTCCTGAGCCCAATTTTAGAGTCTTGAGCTGATGAAGCAATAGAATATGCACGAGCTAGCTTGTGTAAGTGGAATTTCGGCAGCGTATCGTCTTGGAGCAGGCTATGTCAAATTTGATGATTTTGCGGAGGACTTTTTCAGCAAATATTTACTCCTCTCGCATGGTGTACGGTATGGGGCCGAGCAAAAAAGGAGGAAACAGAAGCAGAATTAAAATTCTATATGAGGGATTGAATGGTAAACAAATGTACGAGTTCTATAAAAGGTGTAAAACTCGTGTAACATGGTTGTTTTCGAGGAAAGCACGTACAGGCCCATACACTACAAACAAAAGGTAATTGGAAGCGCAGATTCCAGTTTCATATACTTACTAGTTAGCCGAACCATATCTTCTAACTAGAAGAGGGTATAGCACCCACCAAATGAGTAGAGGCAAAATCACCCCTCGTAAGATAAGACTAACTAGAAATAATAATTAACTGGGTGTGCATGCACATGTTGTGTAAAAAAACCTCTGATGTACTTGAGCGATTCAGGGTAGCTTTGTGATTCTAGTGAGAAGAAAGATCCCCGGTGACTGTTTTTCAACATCATCCCCTGACCTTGGCTTAAAAAATTACATCCGCGAAACCCAAAGGATGGATGTCCTGGATCCCAACGTCGCTAATCGACATAGGGCCGAATTTAGGTGTTTTGGATCTATTTTTCAAATGAAACGGTATATAATAAGAGTTTGATTAGTGAAAAGGGAATTGTATATAAGTGAATTTCGGTCCTTTCTTTTTCGGGTTTGGTTTTGTGATGGTTGGTAAAAGGGTTCCTCGGCAGGCAATCTTTCGGGTACTATAGTCTATATGCTCCCACAGAATTGTCGCTTGAAATTAGTGCAAGCGGATAGAAATCAGGGATTGAGCTGCTATGTACTATGAAACCGGATCCATCGGCTATTTTGAGGGCTAGGAGGTTTTTGGGAAAGGGTTAGGGTTAGGAAATATATAACTAATACTACTAATGCTAAGTTCTTGGCATTATACGTCTCGGACTGTGAGACTTTCTATCTTTGCTATTTTATTAACATTGCTCTACTTTGTATAAGGGTAACCTTACCTAGATGGGTTCGTATATGGTTTGTTAAGTCAGTACGGGCCCGTACCGATTTACATTTAGGCAAAGGAGATCTAATTATAAATCCTCTAAATCGCTCTGAGTATAAATTTAAACTCTATATTCAAATCTCCGCTTATAGAAGTGAACATACAATGGTGAGAGGTGTAAGGAGATAAAAGAGATCACATTTATTAATGATTCAAACTGGTTTCTAATAGTCACGTGACGGTGTTTAATCGTTACTCGCAAAGTAAACTGAGATAATACATTTATATAATTCTTGTCTCTATCTCTGAAAATCTTCTCAAACAATTCCTCTCTAGACGTTACCAAAGTAGGATGTAATATACTGAAATTGAAGTTCTTAAAAGCCCCGCCGGATTCTTTTTAGATTTCCCGTCCCGATCTACCTGCATGGTCACGCTTTAAGTCATGTGACACCGCTAATTTATATCTAAATTATTCTTATTTCAGCGCCTGAATTACTAATCATTTCAGATTTGTTCAAATTTTGATCTAAATGCCCAACCCTAGAGTGGATACCTAGTTGACATATAACCTTCCCATCCTTCTTAAACCTAAAAACGTTTACACATGGCCTAACAAAGTTTCCGCTCTACATTTTCGACGGCACCTAATCTTACAGCGCTCATTTCGAGCTTTTGAGTGAAAGTTCGTTTTCGGGTCTCTCGGGTGGTCGTTATCCGAGCTTCCCTTGTGCAACAGATTTCTGCGGATGCTTCCGGTCAGGTTTGCCCAACTCCACAAGTATTCACAATTTCGTACCATGGCTTTATCTAACCCGAGCAACTGGCAGTCAACTGAAAAGAGATGAGCTTGCACTAAAATAAAGAATCTTGGCATGGATCTGCAGGAGCCGCGCTGATGGCAGAGAAGTGTTTGGATAAAGTGTTAATTCCTGCTCTATTAAGTTACCTAGTCCTGAAGGACATACCCTGTTGACTTATTAGACTACAAAGCACCCTGTGAACTCTAGATCTTACCATCCGATTATGGTAAGCTTTAGTGAAGTTTGCTTGTAGCTAGCTTCCTCCAGACCTTCGGTTGCAAGAAGGTTTTGCACCAAATTACCGGGCTGTGAAATATGGGGGGAGCAATTACAGTATATGAATGTAGGCCCGGTTCGGGTCACTCATTATTCTTATAACTATAAGTAATGTTCTTCCAGCCTTTTATCCTGTTTCTCCATCCATCCATTCATTCCCTTGTCAATCCTTTCTACCTCATTCGTTTCTTTTCTACTAAAGAAACGTCTCAAAATGGTAGCCTTCCCGATCATGAGATCCCCCTTGGCCCTACTACTCTCCCTCTCCATCCTCCTCTCCACAATCTTAGCCGCGGGTAAATTTACACCCGAGATCATGCTAAGTCTTAAAAGACGACAATACGCAGCTCCTAACCCTGAAGGGACTTTTGCTCTCTATACCTCGACGCAGTGGGATTTTAAGGCCAATGCTGATAGCTATGTGTTGGGTGTTTATAACTTGACGAACGGAACGACGGAGAAGGATCGCACATTGCTATTTAGTAATTCGAGCAGCATTAGTAATGCACTGTGGTTGGGAGATGGGACGATGTTTGTGTGGTTTGTGTGGGAGGATGATGGGTCGACGACTGTGAAGGTTGGGGATGCGGTCAAACCGGAAGCGGAGTAAGTGACTCATTTCATGAATTGCATTCTGAAATATGTAGATCTATCATTCAAGAATTTTTCTTGGCACTTACAGATCTCTGCTGACTTTTCAGACCCATCACTGCGGGGAAAATACCAGGCTTTGCCGATGGCTTGAAGCTTGTAGAACTCAGTAAAGGAAACTACGCGGTTGCTTTCTTTGGCACAGCCGATTCCGATGGAAAGCTCGTCAACTTCTCAGCACAACAAACTCCCGCTTCGTCGGCACGAATGTATACCCAGATCTTTGTTAGACACTGGGATTCATGTAGGTACCCCAAAAGAGAAAACAAAGACAATCCACCATTGGAAGTTCTGATTGTAAGCAGATGTCGCACCCCAGAAGAACAGCATTTGGTATACAACATTGTCCAGTGAACCATCAGGATATACTTTGGGTCAACCAATCAATGCTCTCAATGGCACAGGACTCGAATCTCCACTACCACCCTTCCCTGATCCCAGCCAGTATGTGGTTTCATTTCTTCATGCTTGAATCAAGAGTCGAGACTAACAATCCCCAGGTTCGATATCGGAAAGAATGGGATTGTCTTTACCGCCAAGGAACCAAAACTCCCTCAAGCAACGACTACAAAATCTGACATCTACTACATCCCATTAAAGACTTTTCAGGAATCTCCACCAACCCCCCAAGTTATCCTTACATTAGACCTTGAGGGAGCTTCCTCCGGCCCAGTTTTCTCGCCAAATGGATTTTCGCTAGTCTTTTTGTCGATGAAGGAGCACGCTTATGAGGCTGATAAGAACCGCATCATGTTTGTAGCAGACATTACGAAATCCGTGACTAGTGAGGAGTTTTATGTAACCCCAGATGGAAATGGAGGTTGGGATCGTTCCCCTATATCAGTGACCTGGAGCGTCGACGGAAAATATTTATACCTCCCCGCTGATGACTTCGGCCGTTCTCGTCTATTCAGCGTCGCCGCCGACCCTAAACTCAAGGAACTTCCCCAGATCATCTTCGCCGAAGGCTGGGTTGACCGTGCCTACCCTGTGATCGACGGACGGATCCTCGTCTCAAGCGAAAGCTTGCTCGATAACTCTATCTACTCGTGGGTCGATCCAGTAATTTCGGGGAGCAAGAATGCTACCGAGGGAGTCACTCTTATTGACGCGAATTTGAAGTATGGCGCTGAGTGGGGATTGAGCAGGAGTCAGATATCCGAGTTCTGGTATAAGGGCGAGGGGGATTATCAAGTTCATTCTTGGGTTGTTAGACCTTCGTTCTATAAGGAGGGCGAAAAATACCCGCTGTTTTTTTATGTGCATGGGGGGCCGCAGTCAGCTAATACTGATTGGTGGTCTTATAGATGGGTAAGTTCAGCTCCGTATACTTTTCTTGTCTTGAGCGGAGACAAGAGTAGAGGTCATCTTTTCAAACCACCTAAATAAACAAAGCTAACAACCCTTCAGAACTTGGCCCTTTGGGCCGAACAAGGTTACATAGTCGTAGCACCTAACCCCACAGGCTCTACAGGCTTCGGCAAGTCCTTCACAGACGCTGTGCAAAACGAATGGGGCGGCAGGCCCTATAGAGACCTCGAACTCGCCATCACCCACATTGAAGCAAGCATGCCCGAAATTGACGTCGCTAACGCTGTCCAAGTCGGCTCATCGTACGGCGGCTACATGACCTACTGGATCTCGGGACAACCCTTAGGCAAGAAATTCAAAGCGCAGCTCGTACAAGATGGAACTTTCAATACTGTGCAGTTTTATGCTACAGATGAGTTGTGGTATATTCAGCACGATTTTAACGGGACGCTCTGGGACAACTATGATAACTACGATCGATGGAATCCTGCGAGGTTTACTAAGGAGTGGATGACGCCGATGTTGATTGTGCATAGCGATTTGGACTACCGTACTCCCGTGACTGATGGCTTGGCCGCGTTCAATGTACTCCAGAGTAAGGGTATTCCGAGCATATTTCTGAATTATCCGGATGAAGGACATAATATTCGGAATGCGGAGAACTCGTTGATCTTTCATAAGACTATGTTTGATTGGCTTAATGGGTATGTTGGGTTACCGAGGTATAGTGATGAGGGGGATCTGGCGTATAGAGCCACTTTGCAGAATGGACCGTGGATTTTGAATGGGAAGTAGAGTAATGAGATTAGACGTGGCTATAGAGTTCAATTGGGAAGCTCTAAATATATAGCTACTTGCCAGACAGCAAGGTCAAAATGATGCTGATGATAATAGAATATATATTAAGATGATGGTTTTTTCGCTCAAACTCCGAAGTAGAACTGGTCTCCCGGTGGACAAGATAAGTGGCAGACTTGGCGTAGTCTATTTTGCGTGCATCTCTATAAAATCGACTACGCCAAGTCTGCCACTTATCTTGTCCACCGGGAGCTGCATCTCTATAAAATCGACTACGCCAAGTCTGCCACTTATCTTGTCCACCGGGAGCTGGTATATGTAGTGGCTGGTCACATGACCACTTGCTTCATCAACTTGATGTTTTCCGACTTGTGTGAGACTGCGTCTATTGCTATGTAGTGACCAAAGCGTTGAGCCCATGGTTCCTCAGGACAAGAAAAGGCCAACCACTCTCTCCATACTGACTGCTGCCAGCCTTCGAAGAAGGCCGTCCACTCGCCCCCTGACTTAGCCGAGGCGGGTGGATATATGCCAATTTTTTACATAGCAAGCCGCAATCTAACACTTATTCCATATTGCAGGCTTGGCCGTTCAGACCTACACATCACATCTTAAACTTCCAACCTCCCTTGTTCTAATTCTTCTTCTTCTCAACCACCATCTTCCCGCGTTGAGAACATCTCGACACCACCTACTGCTACATGTTCAGCCTCCTCGGGGTCAAAGTCTTGACAACTTCAGCTTCACCCTCCCAAGCTCACCCCTAGCCCCAGCACCCGCACTTCCCATTGCCCACACAATTCGATAAATTCGCCAGCTTTCATACTCGCCAGACCAGTTACGCAACGCTGAATTCGAATAATTTGCTGAAGACGTCTGATACAATACCTACAACGACGCAAAATACCGAACTATAAAATACACGCCTCGAAGCTGCTGATTCATTATAACGCTTGCTGGATATGTGTCTAAACCGGCCAAAGAAACGCTTCAATTCCTACGTTTCAATACCAACTAGAAGCTCTCCAATAGTGAAAAGAAGCAGTGTCTAACACAGAACAGAGGAAACATCGGTATTAATAGCCAGGCGACGGAAGAAAAATGGAAAGTGAGCCCAACGAGCAGTGTGCAATGGTAGACATTCGTTACTGGCACTGAGCATAATAATGAGCCTATTTGTGTTGCATACGAACTCGAAGTTAGGTCCAAGTCTAGACACGCCACACTTCGTGACTGCAACTACATCGTACGCATAGCAAATACAGAGTCCAATCATGATTGACTCGGTGGTGTATATAGTCAGGGTAACCGCCCTTTGGCCGCCTTTTCGTGGACTAGCCTGTTTCAATTTACTTGGATGTCGAAAATCTCAGAGAATGAGTACTGGTACTGTATCTACGTGACATCTTGAGCTCTTGAAAGAAGCAAATAGTCTTTTTATAGACAAGCTCTACAAGTATAAGCAGAACAAACAGTCCGAGTTTGCTAGTATTATCCATCATCTTCCACCGTCCCCCCTCCCAGTATCGTGGCCACAGAAAGGTCCTGTACTGTACTAGACCTGAAAATTTGGCTCAATACCGACATCGATATGAATGCTACATATACTAGGCTCGTTGGATTTCAAAACGAAGAAGGGATGAAAGTGACTCACTGTTCCTCACTCCATTCTTTAGGAACAACCTCTGAAATAGCAACAATCATGTCACCAGCACACTTCTTGATTTCTTCATCGGCCTACAGAAATATCAACATTGAGCCCGAGATGATGAATGAGGACTTACGATAGCGCACTCGAGGCTAACACAAATTCTTGTCTCCACAACATCGACACCGTCATAACCTACACGGAAAACATGAAGAGTAGCATTTTCCATTCCCTCCAATGCGTTATCCTTAATTACTTTGACGACATCAGCAAGTATATCTGTTTTTACCCATCCCACTGGTAACATGTGGGCTTTTCCGAGAGGTGTGATCAAAGGGAGGCTTTGTTGGGTGGAGTGATTGCTGGCAAGAAGCTCGCGGAATAGAGCAGGTCTGAGAATCTCCAGAGATGAAGGGAGTGGGTAATCTGGGCCTATGGTTGCCTTGCGAGTTTGTCGTTTGGTAATAAGCGCTTGTGAGAGGGGTAAAGTACGTGGTCGAGCAATATGGCGGAGAGGCTGGAGGGACTTTTGGAAAATTCGGGTGGGGATTCTGGATGTCATTTTCGTGGTTGCAATAGAGTCGTTGAAGAAGTTGTAATTCGCAATTTTGGTGGTTGGGTAGCAAGGGTAGTGTTTTATATTTCTTTTGTGTGCATAGGAAGGGTTATCTGTAAGAATTTATATATCTCGGACAAATCAATCCAATGATAGGTTTCGCCTTCCAGAGGTCCTAAAGCAACATCAGGGAGCAATCTTTCGGTGAATAGAGGTTCAAGGGGGGAAATAAGATGTACTTCACTGCATACAAGTTAAATGACAGGGAACTTAAAGTCTTACTTTGCAGATTTTCAGTAAGCTTTCCTTGGTCCGAGACGGACTTCTGGGTGTCATATATTTTGACTTGATAGCCTTCAAGATTATCGACAATATGACTGAGCTAGGACTGTGTTTCAAGGCGACATTGCCAGTATCCCGAGGTGTTGATGAATGTCTGGACACCATTAGCTGCAACGTAACACGGAAGATCCTCCCATTTGAACTAGAAATGCCCACTAACATCTAGTTTTGGTTACTCATGTTCCTAGCTAGTCTAGAAGTGAGCGAATCCACTACGCCAATAATAAGCGGCGTCTAACGTAGTACACACCAGTACTAGTGGCTTCTTCCAAGGAAGTTTCAAACACATGTTGGTGTCTTGAATTTTACAGGGTAATGATGAACTAAGAGCGAGTACTGGCACTGAGACAATTTCTGGAATTTCAAACTGGGATATCTGTTTCATGGACAATTGACAAAAAGGTTGGTATGGGCCTGTGTTCAAAATTAAACCACCAGGTGCAGCCCAGGACTTATTATTAGGTGTTCCGTTGAAAAGTACACTCGTTATAATTGCTCCTCTTGGGGGGAGGTCTATGAGTATCAGTGCAGAAAGCCTGCATGTAAGCGATTCTCCAGCAGAAACCATCGTGTGCCCATATACAATTACCACTTACAATATTTCATACAGGCCGCAATTCTATATGGCCTTCCTTTTTGAGCACTTGCTTATGAATAGAGTCTTTGAAATTCATAAGTTACATATCACGTCTGACGACGTTCAAGCTGGGAATATGTGGGCTTTACGCGGAGCACATAGTGCTATCGAGTAAAGTAAAAGATATTTCTGCAGTCTAGCACTAAGAACCGTTACAGACCACCCTCTTGCTCTCTCCCCTCAATCTCATCAATGAAGTCATTTTTTCTCAGTCGTACCAGACTTTACCGTGTCTGCGCTTTTCCGATCCGCTCCAAATTCCTCCGGGTAACGCGTCCGAAGATCCAACCCAAACTTCTCCATAGCCTCCTTCATCACTTCATCCGCCTTATCGCAAAACGCTTCCGCCTCCTTGACGCCCTTGAAATCCCTCTCGACATAATTCACATAGATATGTTTCTTCTCAAGGGTGAAATTGAAGCCTGGAGGATTGATCTTATTGATGCTATCCAGGCTGTAGTTTCGCGAGTTCTCCAACCAGGTATCGCTTGCGTGCGACAGTAGTCTGGATATGTTTCTCCGCATAGTGATGTGGTCGGAGACGTCGTGTCCTTCATTTTTGAGGAGCTCGTGGGCGAGAGCTAGGAGGAAGTGTTCCCAGTTGCTCCAGTCTTGGCCGGATTTGGTCTTGGGGATATCCATCGCTCTGAAAGGTTTCGTTGATGGGTGGGGGTTCAAGACAAGATTTAGTTTTTGATAAGTGCTTTGTTAGTGGACATTTGAGTGTATTGAGTATGAATGAGGGAAGCATAAGAGCTAATGTTGATGCTTTTATCTTTCGTAGTGTTGGGAGCATATGACCATGGTAGCAAAGAGATCAGATCATTTGAGTGTATGAAACAAACATGAATTTGCAATATTGATGCAGTAATCAAGCAAACTCACTTATGTTAAGCGAAACAGAGCCTTCTACGCATTTAATTTTGTTTCTATCGCTATCTGATATTGAATGATTTCTAGGTAACTGCTAGATTGCTCTGATCCTTTTGGACTAGCGTACAATGGTATCTATAAGTACGCAGGGATTTAGTTATCTACATTCAATTCAGGATGCAACATTGGACTTAGTTGTCAGAGACATAACCCAAAACCTCGACCTCATTCTCCCGTCTACCACAAACAACTCAGTATCTATTACGATCTTAGAACCATCATCTAAAACAAGAAAACACACACTCTATCATAACCCCTCAACCATACAAAAAACAGATGTCTAAATGCAACACCGCAAAACCACTCAACTCTCCTCATTCAAAATATCACACTCTACACCATAAGACCAGCAAAAGCAAGACCAACAACCAATACGACGCTCAGGGAGATAAATCCACGAGAGGGCGCTTCGGAAGGCTTTGGTTCATCGTAGGTAATCGAGGCGTTGGGGATAGAAGTTGGGCCACCGTCGGGAATCAAGGGTCCACTGGGATGAATGTGTTAGTTATTGCATAGGTGAGAGTGTTGGTTCTGGGACTTGACGGTTTGGTGCAAAATACATTTGTAACTCAGGAATCAATCAAGTTTTTCTGAGTACAACACAGAACACGTTGGAGATGGGGATCGGAAATATGAACCGGGGAGCTAGGAGCTGAGGATAGTAACAACTCGTTCATGACTTACCCATGACAAACATTCGTAATTGATGGTCTCGAATTGGTACTGAAAATCCTTTTGACGGGTGGGTATGCCGTAGATGATACAGGCGTTGGTGTAGGGCCTGTAGGCGAGGGGAAATTTGGGGTTTGTAGCATCGTAACAGTCTGAAGAGCGATCCATGGTAGCTCACGAGCGTACAATCTGAGCTCTCACAAGTGCCGGCGATGTAGAAAGTGTTGGCAAAGATTTGAAGAAGCTTATTAAGAGCAGAAGCTGGAAAGAGAGTAGAAGTTGAGTAGCTAGAGTCGCGAAGGAAGTGCCTTCCTAAACACCCAAACCTCTCCAAATATTATTCCCTCTAACTACCTCTCTTCTCATGTGATTTGAATCAGCCTCCAGACTCTACAATAAATCACCGACATAAGTGAGAGTCACAAATCAATAGACAGTTCAAGCAATGACTGGACTTGACTTGGGGTATAGATCTATGTCAAAACCACTCAACTAATCACCAGCGAGACCCGTACTCGAAATTCATCAAATCGCGAAGCTCGTAGTCCTAACTAAGGCTCTGTCCACGCAGAAAATATCGCCCTTAGTAACATCTTATTTATCATGTCCAAGCTAGTGCGTGTACCGTAGGCCCTTAACCTACACCATATCTATACCACAATCTACAACAACCGAGACTTAAGCGAGGCTCGAGCGAGGACACTACTCTAGACTGTATACGCTATAACTACAGACTCTCATACCCTCTATTAGGGTACCAAATTACCAGGGCTTTGGAAAAGGCCCATATGAGCTAGAGTGTCCGATAGGAAATTATCGCCTTGGTATCTACTATCTCGAAATTAAAATTTTAATAACTCCTATTTTCACAATATTAGAGCTGGGTTAGTACGCGAATAGCCTATACGTTGAAAATATGGCCTACGTACTACTGTGATGTGTTATATATGTAAGATTACGTTGTTTGCCATTTTGGGACGGTAATTGAGAATGATAAGTACTGTGCCTTAGGACCAACCAATTGCTTGGGTCAAAAAATAGTCCCAACAGTCACAAATATCACCATGGAACGCACAACAAACCCCCAAAAAAAGTCTCAAGAAAAAACAATCAATAACCAATTAACCATTACCACTCAAAACCTCTCAACCCCCAAACAACCATCCCAAACCCCACCATATCTCAAAACCACACCCCCATTACCTCCCCCCAAAAACAATTCTATCTCTCAAACCAACCATACCCCCCAACCTCCCCTGGAGTACAATTCCCCCATCCCTCAATTATCATCAAGCAAGCAACCAAGAACCTCAAAGCCATCACCACATACCCACCTACCCACCCACCAATCTACAACCCCCCCAAAAACACAAGACCCTGCACAAACACAGCACCAAAGGACACCGATCCCGGCCCGGGGGAAGAGGCCTCAGAAGATGGCGTGGAGATAGGACTAGCGGATGTTGATGCGGAGGGCTGGGTGGAAGTTGGTCGTGTGGTGGTGGTGGAGTTGGAAGGGGTGTTTGTTGGTGAGGTGGAAGGGGTTTGGGTGTTGTTGTTGGTGGTTGGGGGGTGGAGAAGGGTACCGCTAAGGTAGTTAGGGAGAGGGGGTTGTTTTCAGGTTATCAGAGTGAAGAGGGGTTTATAAGACTACTTTTATATAGAAATATTCTTGTGTGATCTACACCCATATAACTCAGAGTACCCTTACACAACCCTCTTCCCCCCCCTTCCCCCGCCCAACACAAAAAAACAAGACCCCCCAAACCACACAAGCCCCCCCTTCTCCCACAAATAAAAAACCACTTACAAACACTTCGCACTAACCCCCTCGGCGCAGACGTGAGGCGCAGGCGTGACACTATACTTCTTCGCCAAGCAAGAAATTCCATTCCTTCGCCGTATCCGGACTCGTAAATCCACATATTAAATAGCAATAATCGACCGACAGGGTTCCATGGGAGGTGGTGCAGCATACCGTGTTGGCGGCTTGGAGGATGGAGTCGTTGATGTCGATGGGTCCGTCGAGACAGACGTTGTTGTAGAGTGGGTTGGTGGTTGAGGTGAAGGTGCTGGGGAGAGGCAGTTTGGGGTGGTCATTGTGGGGTGGAGTTTGGTTGTTGTGAGGGTGGTTTGGTTGTGGAGGTTGAGGTTGGGAGATGATGTGAGAGGAAGGAACTGCTGTGTATTTATGTTGTTATTATATCAGATTCAAGATAGTATTATTCACCTACCTTCCAATAAGTCTCAAGTTGCTAAGCCCCATTGGAGATTAAGGCGAAGTACAGTATAAAATTTCCTCGCGGCAGTCCTCATACAACCTCCTTAATCATCTAAAAGCTAAATGAGACTCGACACCAATTTGAATAGGAGGCAGAGGTTGTCTTATATTATACAGTGACAACAAATCTCAGATATTCACTCCAAAGACTTAGACAAAGGAACTTACCTTGTGTAGCTGTAAGATTAACTTAACAGCCTGGGTTGTCAATAAGCAAATTTGAATTGATCCTTGTAAGACCCATAAATAGAGCTACTTACAGCCCCTTCACAAATAGAGTAAAAAACCAAGGGTTTTATAGGATGTGTTCACGTATTAAGGGTGACTAAGAAAGCTTATATATATCGTTTAATTCAGTTAACCACTTATCCACAACAACAACCTACAATCAGCAGGGTCGTTGGTTAAAATACGCTTAAGAATAGGTATTTCTTCTTGAAAAGAGTCCCACCCTTCGTTAGAAAAGGTCTCTCTTATCCTTCAAGGATTTGTTACAACAATTCGACGACGATTTGAAAGTACGAGAACCTAAGTATAAGTAAACAAATTATAACACTTTTAGCTTAACGTATAGTATAACTCTGTCTTAAAAGTAATAAGAAACAAAGATTATCTACTAGTGTATTACAGGGTATTTGGCAAGGTATTTTATGTATAAAATGATTTTTTCTTATAGGTTCTAAGGTCGCGAAACATCTTGCTACTTCTGAGAAGGGGTTGTAATACTTCCACCTAGTGTAATACCTCAGTTCTCGGCTATCAAGCCCTACCATAACCCCTTCTGCCAGAAAACAACAAATGATTAGAGTATAAAGCTAAAAAGTGCCATGTCAAGGCATGTATGTATATAACAGTAGAATCACAAAAACAAACCATGAAAATGTATACGGTAAAGCTGCACGAAAAGGTCCAAACTTGTATAAAGAATCTTGCTACTTTTGGGAAGGGGCCTGTACTTAACTAGCTAGCCTTTCACTCAAGCCTGTTAAGGCATTAGCGTTTATTACAGTTAGCTGGGAGAAACCAGAAAGTCAACAAAGGAACTAATATTGACAATGTTGTAAACATCTCTATGCAGGACACCCTTCATTTGTATTTCTTATAGTAGTAGAAAGTAGTATGTGTATTGCCAAGTACATTCACCAACAGGATGAGGGACAGTTGGGTAAATTTAATCTTGCAAGAGTCAGGGTACCACCAAAAGTAGATTGGGTGGAGGTACTCTTACTGTAACATGTGGAACATCGAATCTTGTCACCCTTAGTATATCAAAAAGAACAGGGGCTTCAAGAGAAATTTATTTTACTATTCAAGGAGAGAGAATTGTTTAACCCTTCGGACAATCCTTCGTTACCCTCCATGTTCCCAAACCCCTCCTACCCACTACCCTACTCAAAGTATTCCGAACCCCGTCATCTCCGAAATCAAGGTCATCTAGGTTAAGATGGTTTCGATGCCGCCAAACCTGTTGGAAATACAATCCAGATGTCTTACCCGCGATGTGAGTGTCCAAGAATTTAGCCGACAGAGGCGCAATGAGGTAAGTCCCCTCATCCTCTGCAAGATATGCCGTCTCATTTGTGGAAGGGTTGTGACATGTAGCCAATGCTCCTACTTCTTCCAACATAAGAGAACCTTTCATCCCCATTATATCGTGAGTTTTCAAGAATTCATTCTTCCCATTCAATAGCCATATGGGTGGGCTGTATGTTTTCCACCAGATGGCATTTGTCGCGTCAGGTTGGTTGCTCAAAAAAACCTGAGTGGGTATAATGCCTCCTTGGTGGTAGACGCCCATCAGAAGGCCAAATATTAAATTGAAAATGATCCAGATTCCAGTCCAGATTCTTAAATGAACCCGATTTTTCGGCAGTTGTACGGAGGAAAGAACTAAAGGGATTGCAGGAAGAAGAAATCGAGCTTCTTGGTGCTGAAAAATGGAAAGTACGAATACTCCAGATATCGCCGAGTACAGTCGCATGGAGAGATGAGGCCACAGGAGAAGTAACGCGGCAGGCCCCAACAATAATGGGATATTAAAGAGGGTATGCTGGTACCATGGGTGTAATCCATGCGTGGCCAGGTTGCTTGTTTGAAGGTTGTATCGAAGATTGTTGAGTGGCGTGATGGTGGGGTGAGAAAATAAGTACGACCAAGTGACTTGGTGCTCCGTATAAAATCTCGTGTCCAAATAGATGGCAATAAATAGTGCAAACAGAGCCGAGAGCACAGCAGAAACAAGAGCAAATGGTCTTTTTACGAAACATTAGTTGGGGAAATCGCAAGTGATTGATCAGAGCTTACTTTTTGAAAAAATGGGGTATCAAACGAAGACCAGGAATTATAAGAAACGCCGGAAAAGTGATCCGGTTGAAAATCCCAAACACAACCACAAATGCAAGTATGGCCGTGGCAAATACAGAAGACCGCTATTTTTGGATTAGTAACGTCCATTATCTTGAGAATAGAGCTTATCATACCTTGCTTTCCACTATTCTCTGGATCAAAACAAGACTCCACGCAACAGCCAACGTTTCTATAGAGTTTGAAAAGGTATGGGTCTGGTAAGTCCAAGTCACATAGGATGATGCAACCAGCATTACAGCCACACGCCGGTGTCGAGGCGATTGTACCAATTCGTGAAGAGCCCAGTCCTCCAACACAAAACTCAGGGCAAACATCAAGACCCGTAGAGTCCAGAAGACTGCGATCGGTGGTATTTCCCCATCATTTCCATTTCCTATCCATAGCCATCGCAGGAGGAGCATCGGCAGACCATAAACAGGCCATAAGGGAAAAACGCTGCGCACAGGATCGGTCGATGTAAATTCCCACGTTAACTTGACTGGGTAGCTGAAAATCTGGCCTTAAAGCGAGGTTGTTAGCACAAGAGCTGGAATATGTAAGATGCACAGAAGGTTCAACGTGGCTATTTCCCTTTATCTGCCAGATACCAGACTCGCATTCTGAGGAGTTCACGCAAACGGGATTTTGGAGGGGCAAAAGCAGAAGCAGAAAAGCATACCAGCAATGACCTCTGGGCCTTGAAAGTTTTCATCGGGGTGTAGATAGCTCGGGGTAAGAGCAAAATACAGGCGAACCAGGATCAAAAAGAGGTAAACGCGCCTCCACATTATGTTTGATATATCAGATTGAATGTGGGTGGGAATGGTGGCATGGACCGGGACACATCAACATGCAGAGAAGAGAAATAGAGGTTATCGAGGGCATTCACGAGGGCCTCTCATGATATAGGATGGGTGTGATCGAAGGGAAAGATAGGAGAAGACGGAGGAGAAGTCGATGAAATGTCTGTCAGTCAGACAACGCGCTCCCAGATTCCAGTTCTTTCTGGGACGGCAGACGGCAGGGGGGAAGGTACGAGTACTTGTACGCTGACCAACTGGGCAGCAAGGAGGAAATTAGACGGGCGGCAGGATCGTGACATTCCTCGGGAGTTGGAATTCAGGGTACGGAGTGTACTTGGAATGGTGTTGATGTTGTTGTTTTCTTTCTTTACTTTTCCTCGGTCTTAAACTTCTCTCTTGCATGGTCATGGTCATGGTCGGGTCGTGGTCATGGTCAGGCCTTATGAGGCTACTTGTACTTTTCAGAAAGGGTCACCCTCACCAGCTCTGTGCGAGGGAAATCCTTGGCATGGGGATGACATTCTGCCCTCGTCAAGGCTGCAGACGGCATTCTCAACTGCCATTCGCACTTCGCACGGCCCTGGAGATGAACGCAAGGCTGCCACCCCGGCACCTTGATGCCTTGCAGGTGTACCCTGACCAATCATCTCGCTTGTCAAACTCAAATTACGATAAGGGAAAGCCGACGCCGATGTCACGGGTGATAAGATCTCGTGACTGCGATGGTCATAGGTAGGTTCCTAGGTACTTGGGCAATTGAGTAGGTGGGCCTGAAGATTGCAATAGGTGCTTCTAAGATGGTGTTTCTCATTACTGCAGCAGTCAGCTAAAGTTATTAAAGTGTTTTCACTAGGTGCTGACGTTCTATGTAAACCTGGTACCCCCCTCTCTTGTGGAAATGTATATATTTGTTTGACAGGTAGCCCATAGTGAACTCATCGAGTCCCTGTGGGGAGGTAGTGAGTCACTTCTCTGCGTTTCTATCTGTATCAGTACTGTGCTATGCCTATAGAATTGAAGAACTCCCAAAGTAGCGGTACTTGCCCTTGTACCAGATTACTGAAGAGTATTCACGGAAATAATGTAATAGTGTATATCATCATGAAAGGAAACTCCAGGAAACTAGGTACCTACCTAGGTATACTCTAGTGGATCTAATTCCAACCGCGGGGTATTGGATGTACAAAAGTGATTTCCACCAACTTCTGCCCACTTCTAGAATTGGAAAAAATCACGGTGAATTACGACAAAAGGAAGCACATTAGGCACAATCAAACAGAGAATCATAGTAAAGGGGTCGTGAATGTCAGGTTGGCCAGGCAGGAGGTGATAGCCTGCGTGTCGCACAAACTGGGACTAGCGTGCTTTCTAGTGGGCTCAAAACACCTGCAGCCTCCAGCAGGAACCCTTCCCATCTTCCATCATCTACCATCCTCTCTGACCACCACCCAACCAGAATACAAATAACATCCTCCCAACACCTCCATATCCAAACCACTCCCAATATCTATCTCCATCCAATACCAACACCAAAACCGACAGGATGTCTGAAGCAACCCAGATGATCCGTCTCCAGTCAAATGACAACCACACCGTCCAAGTTGGTAAGTTGCCCCGCGATACTTGCGCGACACGATCGCTCGCTGCCACCACCTGGATACTAAGCTAATGGACTTCAATAGAGCGTGCCGTTGCCGAACGCAGTATGTTGATCAAGAACATGCTCGATGATCTCGGAGATGCAGCCACTGAGAACGATATCCCCATCCCTAACGTAAGCCTTGAACCTTCACCTTTGCCCTTGATAATCTGCTAACATGTATCCAAAGGTCACCGAGGCAGTCCTCAAGAAGGTCATCGAATGGTGCGAGCACCACCGAAATGACCCTGTTGCATCAAACGACGATGATTCCGACAGCCGAAAGAAGACTACGGATATTGATGAATGGGACCAAAAGTTTATGCAGGTTGACCAAGAGATGTTGTTCGAGATCATTCTCGTAAGTATCTCAATCGGATCCTCGTGATAAATAATGCTAATATTCGAGCGACAGGCCAGCAATTATCTCGACATCAAGCCCCTCTTGGATGTTGGTTGCAAGACAGTCGCCAACATGATCAAGGGCAAGTCGCCAGAGGAGATCCGAAAGACTTTCAACATCACCAACGACTTTACTCCGGAGGAAGAGGAGCAAATTCGACGTGAGAATGAGTGGGCTGAGGATCGCTGAGCGTTGAAGTGAATTTGTTGGGTGATGTGGTGGCTAGGGTCTCTCGGAATGCATTTTCAGATCCAGTCAACTCAATCCTCATCCCCCACTTATCACTTTCACTATTCTTTGCCTTGGGGTTTCTTTTGTTTTCTTTTATGACACATATGGGAGTTATGAAAATTGAGTCTCTGGGTAGTGGACATACTTGTGGACTCTGGGGTAGTTGGCCTTGCTCTGGATGGTTCTGCTTATTTCATTTTTACATTTGGCATGGCGTTTCGGATTGCCCCTACTGGGCTCTACAGAACTTGAGGATTTCTTCAATGCGCGTATCTTTAAGTTCCTGGTGTAGATAGAGGGGAACACAAAATAAACGAGACCTTGCATAATAAATGACTACTGGGTGACGCAATTGATTGTGGATATTTATCGATGCTTTCTTGTACACATCCCTTTCGGTCTTACTGTTTTGTTACAATATCTCTGTACTACTTTCACATTCATACTTACCAGAAACATGTCAAACCCGAAAGCCTCTTGCTCTCCCTTGACATGTTCTCGAGCAAGTATCAAAAACATCCCTGCTTTTCTTTACATCCCCTATACTCCTTTTCTTCGTCAACTGAATGTTATCTGTGTCTTGAGACCAGGTTAGGTTAGTTCTCTCTACCTTCCACCCGACCTTTTTGGAGTAGTAGGTATGTTTGTACTGTATTACTTACACGATGTATGAGCGCGCTTAAGTTTCCTACTTACTGCTGTACTCGTACGAGTATGGTTGTGTATGAAATACCGCTACTAGGGATACTGGGAAGTGGAGTGGAAAGTGGAATAAGTGGAAAGGGGAGATGGCAGGTGCGGAAATGGGTGTGGGGATGGTAGAAGGGGTAGGAGGGGGTAGGTGTTATGTATTATAGAGTAGAGGAATTCCATGTGTAGTGTGCTTTTGTTTAGGGTGGAGAGGGGGAGAGGGGGCGGGGGAATAGATATGTTTTATAGGAGACTTATCTCTAGAGGCATAGTAGGTAAGATTACTATATATTACGTATTATAACGAGCGTGGAGAAAAGATGTCTCCCTAAGTAAATAAGCTACGGCTAGAAACGAGACCCGTGCGAGGGTAAGGAATATAATTTACTAGGTATGGCTTACTCGTATAAGGGTAGGGAGTACTAGGTGAGGTACTAACTTTATTAACCTAATAAGAGGTAAAAGGGAATAATATGGCCTTCTAAGCTAAGTTAATTAGACGATTGGATATATATAAAGGCTAGTCAGAATGTTTCCTCCCGGGTCCTTGTTCTACGAGAAATATATTTAGTCTAATTGGGGTATATGAAGTAGCTCCTAGAAACCCTATTAAAATATAGAATTTAGTTAAATATATATAATTCTACCTATATCTCTATATAAAAAGAGACGTGTTTAAGTTAGGGGCTCGCTAGACGAGAAAAAACAGCTTGGCGGGACAAGGACCCGGGAAGAGATATTATAGTAGAAACTCTGAGGGAAGCGTGGAAGGGGTAACCCGAGCTGTCTAAACCCTTTATATTGGAGATTAATAAGGGAGTCGTAACCTAAGCTGTTTACGCCCTTTTACTAAACTATTACCGGTAGATTAATCTAATGAATATATCACTAATTCGTTTATACTTCATTTGATAGGCCAAAGTCGATAGTATTTAGATTTCCAACCTATTTCCCCTTCGTATATAGCGGGTAGTCAATCTGGTTTCCTAGAGTCGTCAAGACGATATTTTCTCGTACCTCTTATATCGTCAAAGAGACTCTTATACCGAGATTGGCGGGTAGCCATCCTTTTCCCTATCCGCCATTTAGACTCTCACGCCTCTAGAAATGCATCTTATTCGGATAATATCATCTATTTGCCTCCTCCTTTCCCTATCCTTCGCACGACACATTTTCTCCCCACCATTCCTTAAATCGCTTGATAAACGAGCGCAAATAGAAGTTATCGGCGCGCCGATCTGGGGAACCAAACCACCAGCGCCTATAATCGCGGATGACGTACTACGCTATGTGAACCAAATCGCGGAGATGTCCCAGTTAATTGTAGATAATGTTAAAGAGGAGGATGCCATCTTCCTGCAGTTCTTCGGTGATGTGAAGTATTACACTAACGTCATGAGTGAGATCCTCTCCTGTGAACCTGTCTCTTTTTCTTTATTTACTAACCACAAACCACAATAAGATATCTACCGTCGAATGGCCAACATCAGAAACCCTCAGGATCTAACTAAACTCAGAATCGTAGTGAATGCCAACCCCGAACCGGACTCAGACGACTCGGAGGACGAATCAGAGGTCTCTGAAACCACCGCCGAGTTCATGGTTGAGGACGGTATCGCCAATGTGAAAGTTTACTCGGCTTGGAGAACCAGCTGGTCGTTCTTGGAGAAACCGCTTCTCACTACTGAGCATACGGATGTAGCACAACTCGATACGATGCTCTCTACTAGACAGGCCATGCTCTTCCACGAGATCTTGCATTTTGTTGGAGAGAGTTCCATTTATGGACCTGTGATACCAGGCGAGGAGCTGAAACGTAAGATTCCATCGGGTACAAATTTCAGAGGAGGATGGTATGCTAATGGATAGTAGGTCGGTTTGATAAGGGTAGTATTGCAGACGTGATACCTTTCCAGGCGGCCTCGGAAGGCCGTGGCGATGTGGTATGCTTAGCATTTTCCCCGTCTGCCTTGCATTTAGGACTAAGATCTTATGGTAGGATTTTCTACGCGAAGCTATGTCCAAACCCTTTGACGAGAGGGGTTTCAAGTCAGAAGGGGCTTATGGCGCGGCAAACTGCCTTGCCCTACCGCAAGTACGCCATGGTCCGTTATTTGCTGTTAGTGTCCTCTACATTTGTCTCAAGACTCGCTATTATTAAGAGAAATAGTAAAACTAACTCTCACATCGTAGGTACACAATGCCGATACCTATACTGTTTTCGCCTTTGGTAAACCTAACACTGTTCCACCACTTCCTGATTTTCTTTTCGTAATGAGTAGAAGAATACTAATACAAACAAAGCTGTTTTTATGGGTTGGAATATAGACCAAGAGATCGTACCGACACATGGGCCTCTAGCTCGCAAATACAAAAAAGCAGTTGGAGGGGATCCGTTGATGAGGACAGGGTCGCCTTTTCGTAGTATGGGACGGGATAAGGATAAAGCATTTGAATGGTGGACGTTGCTTCAGAGGAGACCTTGGCCACCAGAGTAGACGGTAAGGGTGTTTGTTTTTGTTGTCAGGAACATGGGATATGGGTGGCATGCCAGGGAATGCTGGAGTGATGGAGTAAGAATTGTATTGAATGAATTAAGGTGTTGATAAATAAGGGAGAGAACGAGTACTGTATATAATAGTGTCTCCTTTGAAGGTTGCATAAGAGAATGAGACCTGAATAAGACCTGTTAAACTCGGTGCATATGGTGGAAACACCTGTGAGTATAAACCTGACAACAGTTTTTGTGGAAATGTTGTAACCACAACCTCCCTTTGCTTTTCACATTTCCTCAATTGTTACTAATTCTTCATTTCTTGGAACAATTACTATTTGAATTACCTGTTCTGGTAGTACCTTAGGAGACTGTTGATTGTGGGTTGTGTTAGTAGATTAGTAACTAACTCCCCCCCTTTTCCTCGCGTAAATCAAAAGCAATTCCTCGTACTACCCAAAACATCCCTTATCGCAGTACCTGCAGCGCAGCGCTGGCTGGAAGTTCACTCTCTGCATCTCTATATAATTGTTTGTGCAAGGAATAGGTATATACAGACTGAGATGTCCCTTTGAGATCTTGTGGCAGGAACATGTTTGTTCAACGATTTGTCTTGCGGTTTTGGAATGTGGAAGTCTCGCTAGTCGTGAAAATCTTCGATTACTTCTGTGGTAGATATTATAGAAGTATGGAGAGAATAGCATTTAATAGGGGATTAGAGTCGTATTATAATCCATGGGACGTGTATAATTATAATTAGAATCTAATTGGAATTCGTATGAAGGCATAGATTACTGATTGTTTCTAGTTTTATTTGAATTAGATCTAAATGTCCAACCCTAGCCTATGGCTTAAAATGTCTCGTACTCAGACTTGAATTGTGAAAGGAAGATGGGGATGACAAGATCGAAAGAGAAGAGTAGAAATCAATTCTCCTAGGACCATGAGGCTTTTAAATCCTCTCAAATCACCGATGAAATAACATCATAAAAGGTTCGTAAGTTGAAAAATAAAACATACTTACTGGAATCAAGTCCGACACCAAGAACCATGGTGAGAACCTTTGTATCTTGAACAGGATCAGGAAACTTCGTACTTCACGGAGTATGTAGAGGGTATGGCAAGCTTGGGTGATACTTATATTTCGAACTGTATGTTGAAGCGAAGTGTATTACTCATTCAAACCTTCAATAACCACATCAAAAATCAGAGATTCATGATTCGAGCTTTGGCCAGCAACTTTTTAGAGCGAGATGATAGCTAGATGTTCTGCTTTAAGGTCGTCATGTCCTTCCAATATAACCGCCCCTGCACCATATCCTTGGAACGGATTTATTCTGCAAGGTTTGTAACTTTCCGTAACTCACATTGATGTCACCTGCTCAAAAGAAGTATTTGGATCCTAATGCGCGTAGGTGAAGTCCGTAACTTTCCGTAACTCATATTAATGTTAGCACCTCAAAAGAAGTATTTGTATCCCGATGTGCGTAGGAGTGAGGGGATCAGACCCAGAGTTGAACGTATATTATAGACTCTAAAAGGCCAGCGACATGTGCCCTTCGGGACTGGGCAACTTAGTGGAGCACAATTTGACACTTTATCTATACATCTCTTCTGTAGGTAAGGTTCGTAACTTTCCGTCACTCGGCCTTGCGATTTACATATAGTACTCGTTCACAGAGCGACTTTCAAGGGTTCCCTTCTCGACTACGAGAAAGGAGTATATATACCCAAGTGAATTCCCCCTTCTGCGCTTACCTGCTCTTCGGTCAAGACATTTCCTCCTCTCGATCAGTACCTATATACATCCAAGATATCCACACAGCAACACCTCACCATGCGCTTCGCAACACTACAACTCCTCCTCGCCGCCCTCGCAATGCTATCTGGCATTGTACATGCATCAGAAGATGATCCCAATGAACCCCAATGTCGCACTGCTAATGATTGTCCGCCCTGTGCTGCTTTGGCTGATCGTGTTTGCGAGTAAGTAATCCTACCTACCTACCTACCTACCTACCCAAAAAGAAAAAGAATATGTGATACTCTGCTGGGTACTAATACAAGATCCTTCTATAGCGCTGGGATCTGTTATTGTGGATAACACTCGATATATATCAACGACTATACGGTACCTATACTCGAAAGGGTAAGTCGGATATAGAAAGACCAGTCGACTTTCTCTATTAACACGTCTGCAGCGCAATCTTGTTTCCTGGGGTCGTCGAGATGATTTTGACGAGATTTGTCTGTAGCCACAAAAAATACGGGGAGATCTATTTGCCTCATCGCTCGCGTAGTGGGTGGATGGAACCTAGAATCACAGGGTGTATGTGTAGTAGAAATAAGCAGTTTGCAGACGTCCTTGGGGACAGTTTGGGCCAATGTATGTTCGATATAATCGGTTATCCTTATTCTTCTCGCGTAGGTGAGGTTCGTAACTTTCCGTCACTTATATTGATGTCACCTCCTTAAAGATTATACGACTTTAATAGCCTCCGGTCGATCACTTCGCGACTCTAATAGCCTCTTAGCCAAACCGCCGCCTTTTAGAATAAAGTAGGTATAACATAGGCACATCGTAAATCTCTGCCCTACTAGAGTGCGAATAACCTTAAGGGAATAGATAATAGAACTTAGGAATCATAGATTCGAGAGGCTACTTAATTAACAGCTTATATAATATTACACCCCCTTGTCCCTAGTTAGCTTATACTTCTACGAGTGTTTCTTTAGGCAAATTTGTATAGAGTACAAGTACTTCTTGAGTTCTAAATAGCTTTAGGTTCTACCCTCGTAGAATGTCCTTAGATAAAGCAGTATTAAAGTGCAGGCCTACGAGGCATACTTTTCGGGCCTCCGCCCACGGCCAGGGACAAAACAGGGTGTAAAAGTGAGTTTACAGTGCTGAAGGCCATTAAAGTCGTATAATCCTCCTTAAAAGAAGTATTTAGATCCCGATACGCGTAGGTGAGGCGAGGCTCGTAACTTTCCGTCACTTGGCCTCGCGATTTACATTTAGTACTCGTATCACAGAGCGACCTTCAAGGGTTCCCTTGAGTACGAGAAGGAGTATATATAATCAAGTGAACTCCCATTTCCGCCCCCTCCCTTCATAGTCATTCTCGACTCTCGGTCAGCACCTATATCAGGTATCTATCAAAGCAGCAAGCCCTTACCATGCGCATCGCAACACTACAACTCCTCCTAGCCGCTCTCGCAATGCTATCTGGCATTGCATATGCATCAGAAGACCTACCCGAATGTGCTACGGCTGATGATTGTTATGGCTGCAATTCTCTGGGAGAACGTCGCTGCTGGTCAGTAATTTTACCTAGCTACAAAAGAAAAAAGAATATGTAATACTCAGTTGACTTGAGTACTAATACAGATCCCTCTACAGGAATGGGAATTGTGGTTGTGCATGATACTCGATATGTATCAACAATCCTACAGTGTACCGATACTCGAAAGGGTAAGTCGGATATATAGAGATCAGTTGATTTTGTCTATTAATACGTCTGTAGAGATACAAAAATGCCGGGAGATCTTGTCAAGTTACCTACAAACCAAATCGATAAACTGGCCTTTTGTCTTCTATGATAAATGCTCCTGCTGACGGTACCTACATAATTGCGCCCTCGTAGAGAATGCGTGTGGATGAAGTGATTGAGCGATTGAGGGAAGCATGCTGCATACAGAGTGTTAGTAATAGTGTTATGTTTTTGGTTTATTGGAGGTTTGTTCCTAGGAGAACTGGTATCTGCATTTTAGCATTTCGCTAGGTACTGGGGTTTGCTCCCTCTAAAGTCTACAGAATTATGCGAGAGGTACTTTGGAGAGAGTTCTCCATACAGTTTGACGGTTTTTCTTATACAGTTTGACAGCTAACCCGTTTAGGCGAAAGGGACGTTCCGTATGTTCCTATAGCTCGGCATTTCCACTTTAGTAGTATTTTGGGTGTAAGTCGGAAACGCGTCTTTATTCTTACAATAAAGTTAGTAGACCCAACTACTATTTGAAGCTATTTACACTTGAACAATCTTACCCTTCTATTATTACTGTCCGCGCTGCCGCCGCTTCTCGAGCACTTATGCTACTAAACGAGGTGCCTGACCCTAACCCTAACCTAAGGGGATAGGTGAAATCTTAATAGCGTAGGTAGTAGGGGTTTATATTCCGCTAACCCTAACCCCTGGCCCTAACCCTAACGTTAACCTGCCTAAGTTAATAAAGCTACTTCTATATTTTAGGTACTCCGACACGCGGAATACTCAGAACGCCTTGACTTTCTAAACGGGTTAGCTGTTAAACTGTATAGGAAAAACCGTCAAACTGTATAGGAGAAGTCTTTGGAGAGGGAATCGCAAAGGAGGTGAGTGATGATTCGCCTGTGATTGAGTCTAGAAGATCAACAAGGGGTCGGATTGGGACAATATTTGGGCAGCGGATCGTATCGAGTGTAGTTTCGTCAAATTGGCAAAGCTATGCCATTACTGCCAAACGATGCTGGGATAGAGGTCGCATATGGTAATTTCTCGAAATCTAATGTAGAATGATACAATTCCATAAAATTGCTCATCCTACCCATCAAAACCTGGCGCTCCCTACAAAACATGTCACAAATCACTGTAATAAGATCGAGATGGAATGGCAAAGCGTCAATTCATCATCAGCTGGCCTTCATCAAAGCAAGATACGCCCATGTCTCATGCATCCATGCAATCAGCATCCCAAACCAGACAACCAGTCCCATCCCCCAACCCACTGCTCAAATCGAAAGTCCATCACTCCATCCAGCCGTTTTGGTATTTTGAGATTGCGAAAATTGAATGGTCGAGGCGGGAGAACATGAAAGAGGGAAAATATCGAAGGATGTGGTCGAATAATGCAGTGAGGTTGTGTCTGAGATTGTCCGTTCAGATACCGATACGAGTCTTACGCCAATGTCTCCTCTTTGCGTTGTATCTGTGATTTTGATGTTAGTCTGTTGCCTTTGCTCATGTGCCAATTCTTGATGGTCTATGTATCGTGTGGGTTGAGGAGGGAGGGGTATTTGGTAGGAGGGGGAGATCGGTACCTGATGGTGTTACCAGTTCTCAATCGAATCCATTGTGGAATTGGTCTGTTTTGCTTTTGGGCTCTGGCGAGCTTAACCTTTGTGCGGAAGGACTTGTGGCTCTGGATTGCGATTATCTCGTCAGTATACTGCTCGTGGATCTCCATGTTCGCCGCATCGCGACTCGTCCCCAGCTCGTCTCTACCAACGTGGGGAATGCGAATTCTTCGCCCTTCCTATCCTGATCAAACAGCTCGTAGGAAATCAAAACTTACCGGCATCTTGACGGTTGTCGTGGTGTCGAGGTTTGTGGATATTTTGTCGTGAAGTTTCCCCAAGTTGCCGCGGCCGCTAGAATTATCTCAAAATGGTTGTGTGCGAGTCACGTGGATTAACGCCGAAGTCCGATGCCTACGGAGTCAAAAGCGGCAACAGGTGCAGCTTCTCTGTGAGGTCTGTGATTGACTTGAGGGAACTGACTTTAGCTATGGTGTCTACCAGTATTTGATCTCCCCTTACTGCCTTTAAGAATCATTCAACAAAACACTTACACATCCTCACCAAAAGTCATCGCCATCAAAATCATCCACTGATTGCGCGCGTTCCAATCCTCAAACGCCTAGCAAAAGTGCCGACAAGTCCACGAAAGAAGTCTAGTCAGGTAGCTCGGTCCACCAAGCGGAGCTTTGAGGCTGCAATCGGACTCTCCCCCCGATTTTGGTGGGTTAGAAATACCGGCCTACATCACAAGACGAGGACCAGAGGTGTTTACATCTTCTTGCGCAAAACTCAACGAGGCCAACCACCACCTCCACACGTCCACTTCGGATTCTGCCATAACATTTACGTTAAAGTTACCTTTCCGCATACCCAAAGACCATCCGAGGCAGTGACCAAGACAGGACGGCGGTGAAACTGGTATAGGAAAGGACAACAGTGCAAAGATGGGTGCTAGTGTATCGTGGTTGTCGGGGATGCTGTGGTCAAAGAAGGAAATTAGAATATTGATCCTGGGACTTGTATGTCTTCATCTATGCTACCGTCGTCTGTTTTCTACCTGGTGTGGCAATTACTAATTATGATGGGTGGTAGGATAACGCGGGCAAAACCACTCTCCTGTATAGACTAAAGGTATAGCATATTGGCATCAGTGCATGCGGGGTAGTTGCTGATGTAGAGACAGATTGGAGAGGTCGTTACAACGATACCAACGATAGGGTTCAACGTGGAATCTGTCACTTATAAGAATCTAAACTTCAATGTCTGGGTAAGTACACACACGTCCTTTGTCTCTGCGACTCGGGCTCTGACTGTCTCTTCAGGATCTGGGTGGGCAAACCTCGATTCGACCCTATTGGCGATGTTATTATGCAAACACTGCTGCGGTGATCTTCGTAATCGACTCCACGGATATCGACCGTTTGGGCACGGCCTCGGAAGAGTTGGCAGCCATGTTGAACGAGGATGAGCTCAAGGATGCTGCTCTATTGGTATTTGCAAATAAACAGGATCAACCGGGTGCTAAAGGTGCGGGAGAAATCAGCGAAGCCTTGAAATTAGGCGAGTTGAGAGACAGGAACTGGAGTATCGTTGCTTGTTCTGCGGTTGATGGACGCGGTGTAGATGAGGGAATGGACTGGCTTGTCGTAAGTGTTCAGCCCTGGAAAATTCTCACTGATGAGAAAAGGGGAGTCTTGAAGCATATTCGCTAATATTTGGTATAGCAAACTGTGCAGCAAGAATCATAATTGATGATGGCTGCGTCACGATGTATATTTCTCCTGTCGACTTTGGGTAATTCGATTGGAGTACCACATTCTCATCATAGGCGTTTGGGAGGAACAACTGGCATTTTGATTTCCGGAATGCAACTTTCACTTGCTTCCAAGGAGGAGTTTGCGGAGGTGCAAGCATATATGAGATCGAGCTCGAATGTAGATTCGGCAGCATAAGTACGAAATGGGTCTGGCATTATATCTTCACAAACAAGATTGCATAATCATTCATTCATTCATCAGAAATTTTCACCTCTACAACAGCAGCTAGTCCAAACGGAGTTCTTGTGGTCTGTGTGCCTCTCGGATTTCAGAGTGTGAAGAAGCCACAAACCAAGTTTCAGATAATTGCTCGACATATTTCCCATATCACCATTACTCAGAAGCTACTCGAGTGCCTAACCCTATTTTCTGCAAGTTTTAGAATCTCTTCGCTGGCACAAAGAGGAAAAATTAATGCATCTCTTTTCTAAGTTTACAGCGCATGCAAACCCACCCGGTGTCTCAACAAAGTGAACAATTTTCCATTACTAGAAGTTTTTACTCTTGACGCCAAGATCAAAAGATTGAGAAGCAGCCTGTAATCCATATGCACTGTTCAGTCGTAGTGGAAAGACGCACTGACTATTATATATACTGGCGAGAAATTTTATATTGCTTCTACAGTATGGAGGGTTTTACCTTTTTGCAAATCCCGAACGGGAGAATGCTTGTTTTGTTTTAACGTTCTCTGCCAGTGTCACTGCACATATGACCCCACAACCTTAATAGAATGGCCCCACGTCGGTTAGGTTGACATGGACAACTGGGCTAGGCGTATGTTGGTCATCGTAATACCACTCATGCCCTGCTTACTTGTACGAAAATCACCTTTTAACGGAATCCCTTAGCCGTTTAGGTAGGTAGCACTAGTACCTTACGAGTTTCATTATTATCCGGGTCCTGTCGTTTTGCTACCTTATTGAGTTAATTTGAGTGATGGAGATATTTGAGGTGATTGGCCTGGTTGTTCTAGATCGTTGACTTGGTTTTCACTATTACATCTACGAAACTATTGATGGATGGCGAGTTAAGTCCGAGGCGAATCTGTCATGTCATGAAATTTTCATCCTGGTACATGACATACCGATAAGGATAGTGGCGTAACTTGGAAAATGCGGAGAAGGGCGACGTCGGAATCTAAACAAACACCACGCGGGAGAAGCACCGGATGGTGGTAAATGGGGGCCGAGAATGAAATTCATCCTGGTAGATTATGCAGGATGAGAAGAATAATGTTCGGATTGGGTTCGAGGTTCCGAGAGACAAGCAGACGCTTTGGAGTGTTGATTGTTGTATAGGTTTTAGGACGAGTTTTACAAGAGTGTCTAGATGCAGTCGGGTACCAGTAGACCTACCCGCAGAGGCAAAAACCATGGCGGTGGGAAGGATTTGTCACGAGGCTATTGGCTAGTGATTCTTAGGGGACCAAGCCATACAATGCACTAGCAAATCTCAGGGTTTTCGTAGCCCGTCGTATGAAACTTCCCAAGATGTCTTTTCGCTGGCGAGGGGTGGATGGACCGGTTCGGGTGGCGGTTTTGGTGGCTTTTCCAAAGTCCATTGGAGAGGTTTTCAGTAGCTGCAGAACTCACGGCTGGGAGTCCCTCGCTATGTGCTCGTACCTACACTATTCTCCGCCTTGGTTCTCGAACTTTATGCCAGCTACTTTACTTAATAGGGGACACTTTGAGTGGCTTGAGTTTCTGTCGTTGGTGTGCTTCCGTACTCGAGTACTCGTACCATGGAGTACCGAGTATGCTACCGCTGTACCAGTGGCTACACCAGGTCAACGCTGCTAACAAATTCGTCGTCGCTCATTGGCTCCACGGGTCTTGCCCCTCTCGTCCCTCGCTCCTGCCCCGCATTGACTTTCCAGTTTGGTGGCCACACATACGTAGCCATAGCTCCCACCCCTGCAGCTGCCTCTCATGTAGTATTTAAATAGCAAATGGCATCCCCGCCTTTGCCTTTACTGCCCATTTACTAATACTTGCCACATTTTCCGCCATCAAAGCAAAGTCATATCATCGTCTTCATCTGTTGATTCAGCATCAAGACCATCTCCCATACAATATTTCACACTTCTGCAGTTGTTGATCAATAGCCGTCATCATGGTTGCCGACGATAAGCCAGCCTCTACTTTCAAGTACTCGGAGAAGCCTCTATACACCACTTCCAATGGATGTCCCGTCGAAAACCCTGAGGCATTCCAGAGAGTGGGAAGCAATGGTCCTCTCTTGCTTCAGGATTTCCACTTAATTGACTTGCTTGCTCATTTTGACCGCGAGCGTATTCCGGAACGAGTTGTTCATGCCAAAGGCGCTGGTGCTTACGGAGGTCAGTTCCACTATTTCGTTGCCACTTGCTGTTTCTCACACACTGACTCAAAGTTACCTAGAATTCGAGGTTACTCATGATATCACCGACATTTCATCTGTCGACATGCTCAGCAAGGTCGGCAAAAAGACTCCTTGCGTGGCTCGTTTCTCGACAGTCGGAGGCGAGAAGGGTTCCCCAGACACCGCCCGTGATCCTCGAGGATTTTCCATCAAGTTTTATACCGACGAGGGTAACTGGGATTGGGTCTACAACAACACTCCAGTCTTCTTCCTCCGCGATCCTACCAAGTTCCCTCTCTTCATCCACACACAGAAGCGAAACCCACAAACAAACTTGAAGGATGCTACCATGTTCTGGGACTATCTTTCTACACATCACGAGGCTGTTCACCAGGTCATGCATCTTTTCAGTGATCGTGGTACTCCATACTCTTACAGACATATGAACGGTTACTCTGGCCACACACACAAGTTCACTAAGCCAGATGGAACATTCAACTATATTCAGATTCACTTGAAGACTGACCAGGGAAGCAAGACCTTCACCAATGATGAGGCAGGAAAGATGGCATCTGAGAACCCTGACTGGAATACTCAGGATCTATTCGATTCCATTCAAAAGGGTGACTACCCAAGCTGGTCCGTCTATGTTCAAGTCCTTTCTCCAGAACAAGCCGAGAAGTTCCGCTGGAACATTTTCGATTTGACCAAGGTCTGGCCACAAAAGGAGGTTCCATTGCGACCATTCGGAAAGTTTACACTTAACAAGAACGTTGAGAACTACTTTGCTGAAATTGAACAAGTGGCCTTCTCGCCATCCCACTTGGTTCCAGGTGTCGAGCCATCTGCTGACCCAGTTCTTCAATCACGTCTCTTCTCATACCCAGATACCCACCGCCACAGACTCGGTGTCAACTACCAACAGATTCCAGTTAACGCCCCATTGAGAGCATTTAACCCATACCAACGTGATGGTCTGATGGCTGTCAACGGAAACTATGGTGCTAACCCCAACTACCCATCTTCATACCGCAACATGACATACAAGCCCGTCAAGCCTACCAATGAGCACGAGAAGTGGGCCGGCGCTGCTGTTTCATTCTTGTCAGACGTCACTGATGAGGATTATGTCCAAGCCAACGGTCTCTGGAAGGTTTTGGGTAGACAACCTGGTCAACAGGACAACTTTGTTGGCAACGTATCCGGACATCTGTGCGCTGCTAAGGAGGATACCCGTAAGCGAACATACGAGATGTTCTCCAAGGTTGATGCGGATCTTGGCCGTCGTATTGCTGAAGCTACTGAAAGGTTGGCACCAGCACCTACCAGCCAAGCTGCTGGTTCAGCTCAATCCCGCCTTTAAATGTTTTATTTGGGGTGGGAAGTAGATAATAGTTGTTTTTGATGGTTACATAGGGATGAACGAAAATTGATGACTTGATGACGGGAAATGAAATCTTATTTGGAGGGGAGGAAAATGGAATTAGGTCTACTGGACGGAATTACATACCTCACAATGTAATACCACGTTCTTTTCAAACTCATTTATTTGATCTTGGGTTTTTCTTGTGTTCCGCTCGGCTAGATGTCGTGATGTACGACCCCGCACCTCAACGACAGTGCCCCTCCTTTCGTGGCCCCATGTGTATATACTATCCATGGTAACATGAAAAGACACCAAACTTGAATCTCATCACGAGTGAACCGCGATATAAAACACACACGAGCATATCATACCAAGCGATCTACAACGCACGAAATTCACTCACAATCCATTACAAATTCTCCTTTGAATAACAGGATATCCCCACACTCCCCACTTTAGTCACGACAATATCTACCTAGGTACTTATCCTACTCTACTCTACCTCCTGAAATCTTCCTCTCCAAACAAACAAAAAAAATGAGTTCCACAAGCACCAAAACCCCCCACGGTCTCCCCCCTTTCGAAGCCCTCCCTCTACGAGAAGGCGATCCCTATCTCTCCGCATGGGGCCTCTACGGTGCGGACGATCAATTAGGAGCTCTGCATCGATTGAGTGATGAGCATGGTTTGTCTCCCTCCCTTCCTTCCCTTCCTTCCCTTATCAATCACCAAATCATCAAATCACCAATCCATAAAAAAGGGCATGGTCATACGGGTGTATGTATGATTATGGGGACTAATACGAAATAGTTGCGCACTCGGCGAAAACGGAGATCCTTAGTGGGGTGAGGATCGGATTGGATGCGCCGTTGAATCTGCAGACGCCGAGTGGGAAGGCGTTTTTTGGACGGGAGATCTTTCATCAGGAGGTGGTGTTGAAGGGACCTAGGGTGGTGAATGATGATGTTTGGGTTTTTAATTCGCAGGTTTGTTTTTTTTTGTTTTTTTTTGTTTTTTTTTGTCTTGTTCGCTTTTCATCTTGTTCAAGTTCTGCTGCTCCTTATATTTTAATTCTCAAGTTTGTTCTCAAGTTTGTTCTCAAGTTTGTTCTCAAGTTTGGCGAATTGTCATTTTTTGGATTTGTTTGTTTTGGAGATGCGATTCTTGGGGTGTATTGTACAAGTGTTTCGTGCTGATTGATGGGGTTCGTGGAAAAGGTATCGACGCAATGGGATGGTCTTAGGCATTTCGCGTACCAGAAGGAAGGACTGTTTTATAACGGCACGACGGCGAGGGATATCCATGGGTCTTCTTTGGGGGAGGGTCCGGTTACCTGTCGAACCTCTACGAGAGATCCAGGGACGGAAGTTTTGGGGATTCAAGGTTTATCTCTCTCTCTCTCCCTTACTTACTTCCTCCACCCCCCCCCCCCAAAACCCCCATCCAAATGAATGAATACACAAACCCATAACAAAGAAAAAGGAAATCAAAACACTGATGAATAAACAGAGATGGCAAAACGAGGCATCATAGGCAGAGCAGTCCTCCTAGACTACCACTCCTGGCGTCTCGCCCAGCCCGCACCCAGGGAATACGATCCCTTTGCGAGCGCATCCATCTCCTTGGAGGAGTTACTCGCTGTGGCGAAGGCTCAAGGGACGGAGATCCGATTTGGGGATATATTGTTTACGCGAACAGGTATGTACTGTACATCAAATCTTTCCACGTGCTATTTCTTCTTCATGAATAGAGAGACTTTGAGAGAGAGAGAGACCGCTTCATCACAATTTCAAAGTAGCTTTCCACAGCCCAAGAACGAAAATGAGACTGACGAGAAATCATACAAAGGCTACAAAGCAGTCCTCAACACCAAAACCGACCAAGAAGTAAGCACCTTGAAAGACGTCATGCCCCCCCATTTCGGAGGCGTCGAACAAAGTGAAGAGCTGGTGAAGTGGATATGGGAGCATTTCAGTGCCGTCGCAGGCGATCAACCCAGTTTTGAATGTTGGCGTATGTCCTACCCTTTCCTCTTCCCTTTCCCTTCCCAAACCTTTTCTCTTCTCAAATCTACCTCTTCTCAAACCTTCCTACCTCTCAAAGTTTTATTAAATATATATTGACCACCCACAGCATCCGCAAACCCCAAACTTCTTCTGCACGAGGTTCTATTGGCTGGATGGGGCATGCCAATTGGTGAATTGTTTGACTTGGAGAGTTTGGCGGAGCATTGTAGGAAGGTTGGGAGATGGAGTTTTTTTCTTAGTAGTGAGGTTTGTCATGTTACTGGTGGGGTGGCAAGCCCACCTAATGCAGTAGCTATTTTCTGATCGCAGGATGGGATTTTATGAAGGTAGCTAGATGTTTGGGGAGTAGCAGGTGTAAAAAAAAATGTTGTGTTGCATTGTTACAACTTCGATGAGCCCGTAGCTCCCTCTAGTTCTTTTGTCTTACGTTGGAAATTCTTCACCAATTGCCGGATAGCTAAATCTAACATGACATCCTCTGAGCCTCCTGGGATCCTGACACCGGGAACTTCACGATAGATTCCTATAGTACATGTTAGTTTGTTCTTCAAATTGGGATTGCCAGGAAGGGAGCCATACGCTCAGCGATCTCGCCGAGGCCAGATTTGGTATATCCATTCCCCCCGAAAAGCAAGACCGAAGTGCTCGCGCAAAGTTCAAGCACGCGACCAGCTTGTGCCTTCACCAAAGCAGTCAAGCCTCCCAATTCCTCATTTGCTTCCTTTTCACTAAGCTTCGTCATACAATACGTATACTGTTCCACCAAAGCCCAGTGCCCTTCTAGTTCGGCACCACACTTTGCCAATCTGTGTCTTACCACCGCCTGATCCATCAATGTCTTTCCAAAAGCCTCTCGCTTCATGCAGTACTCGAATGCGGAGCTTATAGCCACGCGAGACAGACGATTGGTGGATATGGAGATTGTAAGACGCTCGTGGTTGAAATTCTGCATGATGTATCTCATACCATGGCCTTCTGTGCCAATCAAATTGGAAACTGGAACTCGCACATCATCGAGTTCGATGAAGGTTGTTCCGGCGGAGGATTGTCCACCTACTCTGATCCGTCGCATAGTAACACCGGGAGTGTTCAAAAGAGGGACGACTAGCATGGATAGACCAGCTGGGCCGGGTCCACCAGTTCGTACGGCCATGGAAGCATGGTCAGACCAAAGTCCGTTTGTGATCCTGCATCTTCAATTAGTTCTGTTATCTCAAGAACAGGAGTAAGAAAAGGATGTACCATTTCTTCGTCCCATTGACGATATATTCCTTCCCATCCTTGCTTTTCACAGCAGTGGTTGTGATACCAGAAACATCACTCCCGGCCTCCGGTTCCGTGATGGCAATGCAAATCCTCTTCTTCCCCGTCAGTAAATCCGGCAAGAACTTCTCTTGCAACGCATGACTCCCAAACTTCAGGATCGGCGGAACCCCAAATGCGAATCCGACACCCACCGCTCCTCCAGGCCCGAGACTTCCCACGCGACCTCCTTCGTCTACAAAGATCAACGTATGCAGGTAATCGAAATCTTCCACTTTCAGACCCCCAGGAAGATGTGTGATGCCGAGTTTATGCAGCCATTTGACAGGCAGCGGGGCAGATAAGTTGGGAATCAAGAGGTTGGCGGCTGCGAACTGGCCGTAGAGGGTTTCTATCACGGTGCCATCAGCTATTATTGTTTTTCTATGCAGAGGATTGGTGTAAAATACGGACCAGGAACATCACCCGCTCTCTCCCACTCGGCGCTCTGAGCCATTAATAACTCGTCGATGAGCGCTCGGCAGGTCTTTTGCCATTTCTTGTGCGATTCGTTGTAGTAGGGAGAGGGAAGACCCATCAGCCATGGAGGCTCGGAAAGGGGGATTGGGACTTTGGACATTTATGCGGTTGGAATGGAGATGAGTCAATTGAGGAGTGGGTATCAATCAAGACGGGAGAAATGCAAAGAGAAAAAGACTCGCTGTGTCGAGAGTAAATAGCAACATGGCTGACGTTGTACTCGAGTAGATGGTGAGTGCTTGGGATGTGACAGTCCCCTGTATGTTGTATCCCCGCATTTCAAGGCTTGTGGTTGTGGTTGCAGGGGCTCTCAGTCCTCGGTTGTGCAATAGGAGAACCCTGCTCTGGCCACCCCTGCGTTTTAGCAGGTGAAAGTCCAAGCTCCATCTTATGTAAATTTACACACACGCTCTGAGAGTGACCATACCGAAACCATGGGACCAAAGCCACTCCTTGCAGTAAGTTTAGGTTCCAATGTGAAATCAAGTTCTGGTACTCATATATCTCATCTCTTAATTTGGAAAGCATTGAACTAGCTGCGGAGGTACACTGCCTCGACTGCTCACCTACAGCTTCTATTGTGATATCCTCCTCAGCCATTCAACAGAAGGAAGTATCCTCCTTTCAGCTTTCACTTTGTTGTTTATACCAGATTGTTCAGATTGTTAGACTCGTGTGTTCCCCAGCCAAGTAAGTATTCTGACCGTTTGGTTACTGTATCAAGGTGTATTCGGTATATGTCCATCTCATTTGTTTTGATCCCCGGGACTAATGGAATCTCTCAGTTAGAGTCGTTATCGCTCCAGACTCCCTAGATACCATTGGCTTGGTAGGCGATAGTCACAGACCTACGATTGCTACAGCAATTTACCATGTCGGTTGCTTTCTTGGTGCTATATCGGCTGTACTGTACTATTTGGGGAAAGCTAGGCCATGATAAGACATCACTGCTTGGTGCTATATGCTAGTTTTAATCTCGTTATCTATCTCTTTTATCCGGAAACTGCACATCGTTCACCAGAGGATATTGCTGGATTCCCCGCAGAGCATCATGAAGTTTCTGTTTTTAGAAACCAGGATCCAATTCTTGTTCCGAAAGCTGCTTGTATTCGGATAGATCTACGCTATAGAAGTCTCGAGTCAGGACCGAATCTATATAAGAAATGGCGTAGGCCAACAGTTCGTGGGAGGAGTCCGTCTTCTGGATGAGGATCTTTGAGTATAGCTTAAATATTTTGAATACAGCAGCAGTTCAGCGATTTAATGAATACATGGCCATTCTAGAAATCTAAATTCATCTGGATCGGTATCTTATGTCTCTCCACATACTCTAGCTCTTTATAAGTGCTTATGATCAATTAATCATATGGTTGGAAATTCTTGACGGCTACAACTCCATGGCGATATAGCGAATTATAGCTTGATTGATGCCTGTGATGTACTGGTATTTCTCAAAGCTGTGAGAATTAGGGGTCTATGGCAACTTGAAGAAGGATACAAGTTAACGTGCCCCTTACCAAAACTATGACTTCCCCGTCGTCGGTGAGAAATTGTCCCAAACAATGTGTATGTTAGTTTGATGGTTATCGTAACTTATCCTGAATGACGAAAATTACTTTTTTGTCTCCAGAGAATCATTATAAATGGTTAGTAGTTAGATATCCGAACTACATATATAGTTACGTATTTTTCCGAAAATAATTTGATGAATATAATTCAACTTGATTTATACTGCGTTAAAAGAGTTTCGGCAACCCCTCTTTCTAACACGACTAGCATCATATTTGTTTACTCCCATACATAGTAGGTGAATCACGTACAATGAGTCACAAGAATAATCACGATGTACACCCCTTCAATTAAGTTCTAACATGAGATAACCCTTCGTTGAAAGAGTGTGACAAGTCGAATCTTCAGCCGAAGTTCACATCTCTCAATATCTTCTATTTCGCTTGTTACCCATTCCACGCAAACCAATCATTATCCGATCGAACCTTCCTCAAGGACCACAATCCAAAGACAACAGACATCCTATTCTGCGACCGCAGCCTCGGCCTCACGCTTGTAGGTTCCGTAGCCGGCGTAGGTACCATACCCGGTTGAGGGGGTTGGTGCTGGTGGGGGTGGTGGATAGTTGGCGTATGAACCATATGCTTTTAAAAGATCTCAGAGTCAGCATTCTGGCAATTCTGAAGAATTTTCGAGAAGGGCGAGGAGTGAGTAGTCTTCAGTTCTTCCTGGGATGTTTGAAAATTCATTACTTACCGCCATATTCTCCATAATCTGGAAAGCGTTAGTTTTTGTGGTTTCCTGATGTTAGGAGACACTTACCGACGACTTGTGGAGCTGGTGCTGGTTTGGGTTCAGCAACTGGAAGGGCAAATCCGATGCTGAGGAATCCCAAGAAAACGAGTTGTTGGATACGCATGATGAAGATTGGTTCTTGAAAAGTGTATAAAGAGTGATACAGAGAGGAAGATGTCACAAGAATTGAACAGCTCTAGTATTTGGGTAGAATAAACAAGTGATGTTGACGATGATGATGATGAGAATATTAACCAAGATGTAGAAGGCGTCGGACTATATATCTTCGCTTGGAGATAGTATTTAGAGTACCGGTATAGGAAGTGATCATCATCTTACGCGATACAAACCAGGGCCCTTGTCATTGAAAATGAGCACGCATATACATTAACTCACTAGCTTGTTCTCAACAGCCACCAACCTGTTTTTCTTCCTCCTCTTTCTGCGAGAAAGTACAGTACTTGGACAATCTTCACGAGCAAACTAAGTTTCCTCAGAATTTCTCGTATTGATTTTCTAAAACTATCCAGGTTGCAATGAAGTCTACAAAAATCCCAAACAGGCAAGTGCGAAAGGCAATAGACCAATCCTTAAGAAAGCTGATTCGGTGAAGCTAACACCCACATATCGTTGGCCATGCATCGTGCATAAACTCAGAAGTTACCCTCGTGTCTGCAGTTGAAGCTTCAGCCGGATAAGCTACACATAGCTTCGCAGAACTTGGCAATCTATCAAGTTGATATCGAGGCCTTGCCTGTGCAAACGAATTAAAGCGGCTGGGTTATGCTGGGAAAAGGCGTAAGCAGTGCGGTTGTGAAGATCTTTCATGACTAGGGTGTCCGGGTTTCCGTTTGAAGCAAGGCTGAAAATTACCAAGTGTGAGAAAATTCGGATATGTTGCGTAAAAGTTGTTAATGTAGATGTAGTGGTGTTCAATTATGGTTGGCGCTTCAAGCCATGGAAGGACAAGATCCCTGGCTCCCCCATTCTTCGGGCTCCGCTGGTCGCATCTAAACCTCCCGACATCCTTGATTGGTTCCAATGAATCCCCGGATAACGAAGAAACTGGCCAAGCAGGCATGAGGATTGAATAAGCTGCTTATTGAGGGTTACTACTGAAGTGGTCGCGGGATGTCGATTGATGCAATCGCAAGCAATACTCCACAATCACGAAATCATATGATAATCCTCGAGTGGGCTCGTATATCTGCTGGTGCATCATGTACCCCTCAGATGACGACGGAACCTTTCGTATCGCGATTGCAAAGTACACACTTTAACCAGTTCTAGAGATTTGTTTGCGAGACCAGCCCTATTCCTTCGTATTCCTTATGGCTTCCCGTGCACGATCCTACTACCTTATCTTCTGCTACATCATGGATGATGGATTAAGGTATCATTCCGAAGAGATGACCCCATCTAAGCTCATTCTTATACGATCATCATTGTTGTTACCTATTGCTATTCTTAGTAAACCTTCACCGATCAACTGGCAAGGATCCTAGAGACCTTCGAAACTTCTCCATTTCGTCGGATACTTTGTCTGTTATCCAACTCTACAACTCAGGCGTTCGTTTTCACCAGTCAAAATATCGCAATTCCTTTTTCTACGATGTACGCTCCTCTCCAAAATCGAAGCGAAAGCGTGGGGTCATCTGCAGCAGATGATCAAGATCATTTGTTGGAAAAAGAAGCCCACGACTTCTCTACCTCATACAGACCAAGCTCAAGAGTTCACTTCATAATCCCCACTTTAATTACGATAGCAACTACACTTTCTGCATTCGTTTTAGGGACTTGGTTTGGAAGTCAGAAATTTGCTCCGACAAACCGAGACTATCTTGAACATATGCAAAAATATTGTATGCGAATCTTCCTGATCTTCCCTGTTCCTAAGCTTCAGACTGATCATGAATAGCGCCTATCTTGAAAGAGGTTGATGCATCGTTGCATATTGTACTTTTCAATGGCTCTTTCATGAAGGAGAACGAATTTCGGAAAGATGCAGGACCAGAAGTAGACGCGGCATGGGAATCTCTCGGCGTAAACTGTAGGTTAGGCTTAACTTCATGAACCCGCTTCTCTGACCAGAAATATAGACAGAGGTGTAGCTATTCCAGTTGAGGAAGCAGCTGCTTCGGGGCTCGATCATACCAAGGTTCAAATTAACCCCAAATATGGAGGAGGATTTCCGGCAAACGTGGAAGGCCTTCATCATCTGCACTGCCTCAATCTTCTACGCCAATCTCTCTACTTCAATTACGCTTACTACCATGAGAAAGGAGAAGGCGCCTTCACAAACGACGATATGATTGTCAAATATCATGTTACTCACTGTCTGGATATTATTCGACGACAATTAATGTGCAAGCCTGATACTGGTGTACTTGGTCAGATATGGTGGGATAAAGACGCCCCAAAGGCTTTCGTGGACTTCAACACCGAGCATAAGTGCAAAAACTATGAGGCTATTCGTCAATGGGCGGAGGAAAGGCAGATTCCTGAAAATGTCGCAAACGATTTCTTGAAGCACCCTGAGAGCAAAGATATTATCTACGAAGAAATCCCCTAAATATAATTATGGCCATCCGCAAAGTCACGTTTTATCCTGGCACACAGATTGGTGGGCTTGGATTACGACAAGAACAACTGAGCCCCCATTCAAAGCACCATGCAACATCCTTCTGGTGACGTACCGTGAAGGGTTGATTGCATGCAGAGGCAATTCTGGTGCCTATGATCAACAAAGGTGGTAACCATATCACGTGATACGAAAGAAGTTTGAGAATGAATGGTTCATCTTCCAAAACATCCAGCTCTGCTCATCTGTGCGCTGTCAAGGTCATAATAGAAGGGGTTCGATGTATTTTGGAATGAGGCTTCACATTAATGTCGCAGGTACCTTACTTAACATTTTAACAATTAAGCCCTCGTGCCCCTATCTCTTTCTCGCTTACAAAAGACCTGTTTGTTTTGATCTTCAATTACATGCATAGTTTCGAGTTCGGACCAGATAATCCCCACTCCATTTTCTGGTTTTGAAATACTTCAAGAAAAACATCCTTCAAATCAGCCTCTAATTTAGCCTTGTGGTATATGAACCCATTACCCCGGCTGCTCAACAATTTATCCACAGCAGAACATTTGCCGGAGAACCTTATATTCCAAGAGATAAAGAACTGTTTTGATTCGTTAACTTGATGATTAATCTTCGAGAGCTGTTCCCTCAAATCAACAATCCCCATTTTATCACGGCTGCAAGGCTAAACCAGTGTTTTTAGCTTCACATGATACTCGATTCTATATTTCATACTCTTTTGTTCGTACAGAAGCCCCACTGTCTTTTATTTCACTTGGCGTGGGGCATCTGTTCTTTGCAAAGCTAGATTGATAAGCTCTTCCCCCCTTTTTATCGCCATTTTTGTTGTGTGCTGTGGTTTCAGAGTCCAAAGCCGACAAGATGCAATTCTTTTATTCGCTAAACCTCGTTTTATTATTTGCAGCAGCTGTTGCAGCACGGCCAAAGATTGCAGCAAGGCAATCAACGACTGCTATTACCATTGATATTACCAAGAAGTATCAAACAATGGACGGTTTCGGATTCTCAGAAGCTTTCCAAAGAGCGAATGTAATAGTGAACCTCCCCGCCCAACAACAACGAGAAATCCTTAATCTCCTTTTCAACACCACTTCCGGTGCTGGGATGACCATCCTTCGCAATGGAATAGGCTCATCTCCAGATTCCAGTTCCGATCACATGAACTCCATTCAACCAAAGAATCCAGGTAGCCCTACGGCGACGCCAAATTATGTATGGGATGGAAAGGATAGTGGTCAGTTGTTTGTCAGTGAAGAAGCGTGGAAGTATGGTGTGCGGACGTTTTATGCCAATTCTTGGTCTGCACCCGGATATATGAAGACGAATGGCAATGAGAATAATGGAGGGTATCTTTGTGGTGTTAGTGGGCAGAAGTGTAAAAGCGGTGATTGGAGACAGGCGTATGCAAATTACCTGGTCAAATTGGTGCAGTTTTATCAAAATGAAGGAGTGACTATTACACATCTAGGGTTTCTGAATGAGCCGGAGTTTAGGTTGGTTCTCAATTTTCACCTTTACTGATGTATATGACATAGAGAGAAAACTAAGAATTTGATCAGTCCGAGTTATGCGGGGATGCTTTCATCCGGAGCTCAAGCAGCGGATTTCATCAAGGTCCTCGCTCCCACGATAGCAGCTGCCAATCTTAGCACTACTATTGCATGTTGTGACTCCGAAGGTTGGGCAAATCAAGGCACCATGACAGCACAGATCAAATCCGCAAGTGCCGAGTCTCTCATTTCGACCGTCACTTCGCATTCCTACACCAGTTCTCCCGGAAATCCACTCAGCACATCTCGACGAGTATGGCAAACGGAAAATGCCGATTTGAATGGTGCCTGGCAGACTGCATTCTATAGTAATGGAGGAGCGGGCGAGGGAATGAGATGGGCCAGCTTAATTCATACTGCGGTTGTGAATGCCAACTGTTCAGCTTATCTCTATTGGATTGGTGTTCAGACGGGTGCGACGAACTCGAAGCTCATCTCTGTTTCTGGGAGTACATATAGTGTTTCGAAACGTCTTTGGGCTTTTGGTCAGTTTGCAAGGAGTGCGAGGCCTGGATCGGTGAGGGTTGGAGTTAGTGGTGGGAGTGGATTGCAGACAAGTGCTTACTTGAATACCGATGGGAAATTGGCGGTGGTGGTTATCAATACGGGCAGTGGTGCTGTTAACGCTGCCATTACCGTCAGTGGTGGCTTCAAAGCGAATAGTACTCTCGGGTTCTTGACCGATAATAGTCACGATATGAGCGTGCTTACAGTTAGTGTAGGTAATGCTGGGGTAATCAGCGGACAAATTCCTGGCAGATCAATGGCTAGTTTTGTGATTTCGGAATAGCAGAAGTTTCTCAAGAATTATTAAGGTCTACTACATTCTGTTCACTGAAGTTTATTGCCTGCGATATCCTATACATAAGTTGCTACTTTTTCGCTCTTTTCAAAGAAGATATTTGGATGAACTTGCAAATATATACACATCTGAATCGAGTTTGTGAAGCTTGGTTTCTTGATTCATTTCGAATAATATTTTCTAATAAATCCTTTTTATGCTCAGTAAGTATCTTCTTGAAAAGCATCCATATAAAATTGTTGTACTAAAGAATTTTGGAAATGATTTTATCTGTACTCAGTTCAGATACCAAGGGTATTATCCGGGAACTTTTTTCAGAGCAATTGAAAAGTTGGTGAACATCTTTAGCGACAACTGAGCTTGTCGCTTAGTCAGCAGAGCCAGGTGTCACAAAGTTACCATGACGTAACAGAAGACTTATCAGAAATATACAATAAATGGAAAGTCTTAAAGCGAAAGCCCTCAGACAATTCGACGCCCTCGTCGAACGAGGAAATGTATTATGGGAAGAAAATTCCCCACGTTTGGTCACCGCCAAGCCATTCAACGTACGTCGTAAAAGAACAAGTCCAATATAATAACTGACTGCGGCTTTCCCTCTACTTTCAACCCATGAACTGAACATCGCAACAGTTTCAATTTCGCATCGCCCCAAGTTGGAAGACTAAACCCATACTCCAGCCCAATGACCCAGGTCGTACCCAAGACCGTGGAGCTTTTGCGGACGATGACCCAGATTTCTTCCTGGAGCACGTCGGGCCGTCACATACGTTGATCCTCAATAAGTTTTGTGTTGTGAGACCGCAATATGTACTTCACACCACTGCATTTGAGCCACAATATGACAAGCTGTCTGTGGCGGATTTCAAAGCTGCTTGGAGTGTGCTGTCACGGCTGGAAAGTGAACACATAGTCATTTTTAACTGTGGTGTTGATGCTGGTGCCTCTCAAGGTCATAAACACTTGCAGATCGTACCGGCGCGGGAGGAATTCAATTTGTTTCCTGATGTGTTGGGAATTGACCATGGTGAGTCTAGTACTCGATCCAACCGTTCCAATCCGACAAAGGGACATGATTCTGGCCATTTGTAAAAGTCTTAGCTGTTACTAACTTTACAATATCTCAGAATCATGCACTGTACCCGGGATTCCGTTCAGACACGCTGTACAAAGGTTGCCTTCTCCAACAAGTACCGCCGACGTGGTTGAGATGTATAAGCAGTTGATTGAAATTGCTGGCGTGAAAGAAACACCAGCTCACAATGTTATCCTCACCCCAGATTGGCTTCTCGTGATTCCACGTTCGCATGCCAGGGATGGAAAACTTGCTGCTAGTGCAGCTTCCATGGTTGGCATGGTTTGGGTAACTGAAGAGTCAGAGTTTCAAGAATGGCTAGATCAAGGGCCAATGGAGGTCTTGTGCAGGTTTGGTGTTACGAAAGAGACGAGCTGAGTTCGAAGAGCGGTGTTATTATGAACTGCAAGTTCTATGGAGTATACATTTTGAGAGGAATACAAAGCGGGGGTGCGAGTATCAACGGTAATAATGAAGAGAGAAGCAGGAGAAACTTTTGAAGTTCACGTATAGATAGATCCACAAGACCAGAGCAGCTATATGATACACAAAGAAATGGACACCCTCCAGCTGAATAGGTACTTATGATTCAGTAATAGAAGGTCAAGATCCTCACGACTCAAGTTTTGTCGCCATATAACCATCTAATTAGTACGGATTGATATCCGCATGTGGCCTTCTCATAGTATTGTATTTCTTTTTGCATGTAGATTACCAATTTACCAACAAGCAACTATCAGCACATTTATCCTTGCCTCAACATCGTTGCGAAGTGCGATCCAGAACGGACTGATCCAGGAGAGCACTGAGCGAGAATATTCTTCTGCCAACCTTCCCAAATTATGGACATTGTTGAATCAAATGGACCCGATCTTCGAGGGTACGACAAACCGTATGCCATACAGTATCCCATATCCCACGCTTACACCTTGCAAAAAAAACGTCATCCTTCTTTCCCTTTTCCCGTCTCTCCCTGCGCTGCAAGCTTCTCCTCTTCCAACTTCCGATACTTCCGCCTCGTCTTCTTCGTCGCACTGCTTTTCTTCTTCTGCTTCACAGCCGTTTTGATAGCGCTCCGGCTCTGATCACCCTTCTCCAGATCCTCTAGCCGATCGGCCAACATCTGACGGGCAAGCTTTCGATTCTGGGTTCGTGATCGCGTGGCTTGGACTTTGAGAACAATGCCCGAGGCGGCATGTTTGAGTTGTACTGCGGAGGAGGTTTTATTCTGTTGCTTAGATGTCAGTCTTGATGATCAAGTTAAACTTAACCTCAGGGCAGAGGGCTAAGTATCAAGCACTGTGTGGAAAAAAGACTAGACTAACAATTTTCTGTCCCCCAGGCCCAGAGCCGTGAAGGAAAACTTCAGTGAACTCCTTCTCTGGAGGGGGCTTTGGACGATCGGGCATCTTCTTTGCGCATTTTGGGGGCGTGGTCATCAACCCGCGGGTGGTGGTTAAGTTTAGTAGTCCACGTTCAGAAACGATGGTCCTTCTGAGAACTGAGATAATCCATCGCTGCATTGCGCATTTTGCAGACGTATCACCATCTATTGAATTGTCGAATTGTGTGCTGGTACCGAGTACTAAAATAATGACGTGCAGTTGGAGCTAACCTCGGCTTGTCTACCGAAAAAAAACAGACCCCTGAACATCTTGTGTGACTGCTCGGGTCGGGTATTTTGATTTGAATACAAAGGACAGAAGATCACTTAACGCAGAACATCGATTGATCATTCCAAGGTCTCCGAAAGGTTCAAGTCTCAACAAATAATACTATTCAACCTTACTGCGAATAAGTACCTGTTCTATCCACCACGAGTCCTCTTCACCACAAAAGGAGAGTCTCCCAAAAATGAAAGGAAGATGCGATCAACATCGCGAAGAGAGGCAGAAATGTTACAATAGATATATAGATCTCCTAGCTCCTACATGTATGTCCTCTTATGTTATCTCACTGTGGCTTTGTAGCCAAGCGAAGTTTTTGTTAGACTATCAACTCCCTGATAACATGTTAACTGAAAAGAATCCCTTTATAAAAAGGAAGGAGACATACTCAGCTCGGATATCAGTGTGTATCGGTACTCCCATTCCTCCTTTTCCTTTTTTTCCTCGGGTTTTTTTATACCACTCTTGAGGACTAAATGATGCCTCTCTCTTTCAACAGAATAATAACGCATGGTGCCTACATCTCGAGGCCCTTCTATCGGAACCTTGTTGGACATAGTAGTGACTCCTCACTCCACAAAACCCCACCCAAACAATGCAAGAATCCAGCCCAAATATTGTTGGATCAAAAGCCCAATCCCCAATACCCACACAACTTATAAGCAAACATTTTCGACACCGCAGCTGTCGCGCTGGTAGCCAAGAGCCAAGCACAGAGCTCGGAAACACTCACCAGCATGATACTGGAGAAGACCAACGTTCCGGCTGTGTAGTAGCTCGCCCAGCCGATCTGTACAAACAAAGCTTCGCCAGAGCCCTGGACAGCCTCCTGATTGGTAACTTTCAAGCCAATTGCACGAGTACTGTCGAGAACCAGGGCTTCCACCGCGCCTGCTTCACTCCGTGAACCCATGGGAGAAGTATTTGAATGCTCACTTCTTCTCCTGGATCGAGAAGCTGCTACCTCGATTGCTGAAGGTACGAGACCAACTATAAACCAAGCAACAATAAAAATCGGGACAGGACAACCGAGAGAAGAACGCTTGGAGTAGACCTCAATAAGGAGTAGGATTGCATACATCCCAACCAACACAAAGATCAACGAATAAAATATAACATGAGATGTAAAGCTATTGAAAGTTCTCCCATAGGAAATCTTCCTCCTCCTCTTCACAACTGGATTTAAACCCAAAGCTCGCACGATGATCTCGGTATACCAAGGCAGAAGATGGGGGATATGAGCAATTCGACGATGGGGCCAGGCGATGTCTTTGAGAACCAAGGGGATGAGACCCATGACTAGAGAGGTGGCATTGTGTTGCTGCTTGCGAGTCTCGGGGATGAGCCCGAAAATACAGTCGGCGTAATACCAACATGCCATGTTGTCATTTGGTGGGCCGTCGATCATACCGACGATGGACTTGGGCCATGGTGTGAAGGGGCCATAGATGAGGACTGAGTTGTCCCAGATGCAGAAGTCCGTTTTGAAGTTGGGAACACCCATCTGTTGGAATCTTTTGCAGAGGGTGGGTGTAAGGGGATAGAGTAAGGTGACCTGCGAAAGATAGATGCATAAAGGGAGAACGATGTCATATCTAGCCTTGTTAGAAGGGACGATTAGCACAGGTTACACTACCTCGAGACTGCCTTCCAAACATGGCGATATGCAATAGAGTCAGGCATGAAGACGTCGATGGGGGCCATTGGACGGGTAAATAAGTGCTCCAGCAATTTTTGATCCTGTAGCGGGCCGGGCTCGGCTCCTTGTAGGTCTACATTGTAATTCTCTACTCGAGTGATTATTCTAGATGTTTGAAAAGTCTAGATTCATGATATCAAGAGGTCTATGTTAAGTCCTACAACTTCCTGAAATGTCCCGTCCAGGCCGATTTGCAACTGTCCTAGAACGTTGGGCCCGGGTTAAAATACCGAGGCTCCGCCCATCACAATATCGGCCCGCTCTCGGACCGGTGTCAGTACTCGGGGATGTCGGTTGAGATTAGAATTAAATGACCATCAACTTTCCAACCAGCTCACCATCTCGAGTTAACTCCACAGGAAACAGAATACTCCTTGCTTGACTTTACCCAAGCCAAGAGTAGACTCCTCAAACCCGCGTCCAGAACCCCCAAAATAACCATGGCAATGTTCTCATCCACCTTCCGCTGGCTGCAGCGCAAAAGATACCAATACGAAGTACATACATACATCCCCCAAACCCCCTTCCATACACTATACCATACCACCCAGCAATTCCTCGCAGAAAAATACGCTAACCGACACCCAGGTCACATTCTCACTCTACATGTTAACCCCCACCGAAAAATTCATCTTCAGTACGTTTCCGTTTCCCTTTCCCTTTCCGTTTCCCTCATCAACACCAAAATCAAACCCCAAACCAAAGCCTCTTTCCCCCGGCCCCCTTTCAACCCGGTGAACCCCTCTAACCATACCCCCACAAACAGATTCCTTCCTCTTCCTCTTCTTCTCCATGATCATCATAGCCGGAACACTCTACCTCCCACACCACGTAACCTTCGTCTTCCACCGCGCATGGTTCTACTACAACGGCGAGGAGGGCGCGAAACAGCTCGCAGGTGGCGTGGCCGAAGCCGCAGCCGCCGCCGCGGCGACGAGTGGGAATCTCAGCGAGACGGTCAAGAAGGTGGTCAGGCAGACGATGGCGGCTGTGTCGGGTGGGGGGAAGGGTGCGGTGGAGGGGAAGAGTGAGTTGTGAGGGAGATGGGGGTGGGAAGTTTGGGTGGAATACACTGGTATGGAAGATGGGTACGGGGTTTAACGATGGGCTGAGGGATTGGATGTTTGGGAGTTGGGATTGGGAATTGCGAATGGCTTCTTTGAATGGGAAGCTAATGTAGATGTGCAACGAGACTTAATTTATAATAGCCACGGCGGAAAGGGTCAGAAAGTCCCTTGGGAAGCTTTAAATGAAATATACATAGATATCCCAATTTGAAAAAAAAGTTAGGGGCTTGATAAATTGAGAGGATGACTGCTGATCTCATTTGATTTACCCATTGCTATTCGCATCCCCGCTAAGCCTTTTCTCTCGCATTCTTTAGAGACTTCATGGTGTTGTATATCAATTCCCCAATACCGGTGACGCCCTTGCTCTCCAGAGCCACCAAAACACTCAACTTGTATTTATCAAAGGAAAGTTCCAATCCCCCATCCCGTTCCAGCTGCTTCAGAGAGTTCTGCGTCACTGGTCCTGGATGGCGGGTCCTAATACTATCTTGAGATTTATCCTCCAACTCCCGAACATGCTCGATAGCTAGCAAACACGTACCCGGCGAGAATGAAATTCCAAATAGCGATTGCAGAGAAAGAGGTGGTAAGACCCCGAGGTTCGAAATATAGCTGGTGAGTAGCTTCGTAACGGGCTCCGGGAGGAGACAGCCAAGACTGTTTGCATCGGAAGTGTAGAAGGCTCGAGAGCGCCAGATGCAGTTACAGATATCCATCAGGAATCCATTGAAGGAGTTTACGTAAGCTAGCGGGTGTTTGGAGTTGAGTTTTCGGGCTTCTTCGAATGCGGATTTGTAGATGGAGAGAATGCCACAAAGGCGAGAGAGGGTATTGAGTGATTGGGTGAAGTGCAGAAGATAGATGAGGTCTGCTATCGGAAGGGGGATCTTGATCTTATTTAGTAGCTCTGTCTGGGAGATTAATAATCCAATCTGCTCGTAGAAGAAGAGAATTGCAGAGAGGGTTGTGACGGTTGGGGTTGACTGAGCCAAAACCGTTGCGAGGATGTTGGTATGGGATACCAATGCAGTAATTGAATTGGCGTCAAACGTACCAGCCTCTGCAAATGCCAGGAATGAGACTGTCCAATTATTGAGAAGCTTGGTGTAAAATGTGAGTATTGTAGCTTGAAGCTCCGGGGTGGTTTCCTCAAGAATAGCTTCTTCCAATGGCTGAAATATGTCTGAGTAGAGTTCTGTTTTTGTTATTATGAGATGTAGGGCGAGTATCATGAGCTGAAATACCTTCAAATGGCTTGATGGGGGTATATGACAAGAGATCAAGGATTGTTTGACGACCGACAACCCCATTCCAAGTAGGTACCATGGACTCAAGATAGGTGTAGCACGCTGGTGGCAAGATCTAGACAATATTAGAAAAGATGCCTCGGTTCGTTAAGTTTGGACAAACAAACTTTTGTAAATTTGGTATACTCAAGAATGCCCTTCAGAATCTCCATAATCTTAGTTTCAGATGGCTCCGCAGCTTGGAGCTGGTCTTCAAAGAAAGTTAACAGCCAGCTATCCAGGCGTTTTTCATATACGTCAGAGGGCTGCAGTAGCAGGAACTTCTGTAGCAGAGGGTCTCCAACAACGGACACTAATTGATTAGGTGCTTCAATTTTCTCAAATCTTTGTATAAAATCATTGGCCCCTTCAATCTCCTCTAGTGTTACAGAAGCCTGTTCGGGGTCAGCGGTGATAATCACAGCAATATTGAAGCAACTCACTTCTTTGGCATTGAAAGTGTGAACTTCAGGTATGAAAGATCTGGTCCGCCGTGACCCATTCGTTGTCTGGCGGTTGACACGGAAGGAACCATTTTCGTGATGAATTCCATCATGATTTCTTTGGATATGGGTTGCCTGTATTTCGCCGAGTCGTTCACTCCATTCCCGGTTTGGATGCTGAATACAATTTTCAGTAGTCACCCTTGGCTAGGTATAGGTTTCAATAGCTCACCGAAAACACTGACGCCCGTCCTGTGATCACATCTCCTACAATCACATCTGGATAATAGTCCTTGAAGACTCGCATTAGTCCAACAAGTGGTGGTTCGTTGCCCGCTTGGCGAGTCAATTCCATACTTGGCAGAGACATTAGTATAACACAGATTAGGAGGAGGAAGCGCTCATATATATAAGAACTTGTCCTTACATAATTTGTATTCTATACGGTCGAACATGTTTCCTACGAGTAATGAGAGAAAGCACGTGACACAGCTGTGGTCTTCAATGGAAATATGATTAGCAGTTAGATATAGCAATGTTCAGGGACATCAAATTACCTAATTGCCGCTGTATCCAGAAGATTGAAAAGAACGCTGTACAGCTGTGACAATATTTTTGGGTTCTCCAAGACATTGTAGACCATTACAAGCCATTTCAGCATCGCTGCTTGGGAGCTGTATGATGGCTTCGTGCGTCCATGTCCCAGCGCTGCTACAACCCTGATGGCAATAGCTGAGGGGATTTTGGTAGCCGGATACAAATTCTTGATTAACTTATTGATGCTGGCTTGATCCAACTCATTCGGTAACGTGATGAGGTCAACCACTCTTTCCAGGGAGGCATTGGAAAGACCCTCCTCATAAGCTTTCGCGCATGTCTTTTCAACCTTGGAAATTATCTTGGATACTCGTTGTTTTGCGGGAGTTTTCGCAGCTATGAGACGATTAGTCGTATTCCTCGACATTCGTCGCGTCCCAAGACGCGTTGATTACCGTGCTCTAAATCTTCCAATAGCTCCTCTATCTCATCGTTGAGTGGCGCAGACGTATCCATGGTTTAGCTTTTGGATGGAATCATGCGATCAGATGTTGATATCGGTTGTGGATTATTTCCCGGTGAGTTTGGAGTTGAGATGGTGATGCGCCTGCTCCCGCATGCTTGTGTACCGCTAGTATATTTGTCTACTGTACCAAGTACCCAGCGGACCAGGGTGGCAGCAAACACACTCGCTTGCCAGCTCGACTATCCAACGGCCAACCTCAAACTTGTCTTCATCTGCCTCCTCTTATTTTCCCGCGACAGAGAGTTACCATAATCAAGGACATGTCATGGCAACTATTTCCATATGCCCCTTCTCCTCTCTCTTCATCCCCTTCATCATCTCCTATCTACAGTCTCCCTTTTCGGGCAATAGCTATACATACTAGGCGTGCCATCACATTATGGCGGAGCGCAGAAGAACTACCATCAGATCACCACGTCCACACTTGAAAAAAAGCTCGACTCGACAAAACAAGTACCTTCAATGATGTAGTGTGGTTCCACGGCACGGCCTTTATCTACGAGCGAGCAAATCATGAAGATGGGAGACGCTTCTCGTCCGAATCCAATCCTTGTGTTACCAGACTTTCTTGGGGCATTCCCTTTCCGCAGCAATACCTGGAAAACTGGTGCATGCACGAAGATGCGAAGGTCAATTCCAACGTCGTTGGAGACTTAGCCGGCGCAAGAGCGAGGAGGGTAGGATGCACGGGTTTTCAGACGACCGGAAGATGGTCAGCGAAATGCCCTCAGGCGGGTTAGGGTTAGCAGGAACCTGGAACTATTGAACCGCCTCGGATCCCTCCAGCTCGGTCGCTCTCGAACTTGAAGCCTCGAGCGTGTTGGTGAGGCCGCCGACGCCATATCCAGCTCGTCGGAGTCGATCAAAGTTTCGACAGCTCATCGCCACAAGATGCTGCCGCAAGAGACAGACCACGCCGTCTTCGACGATCGGGATGATGTGGCGGCGTGAAGACCCCAGCGGGGCAACCACACACAGAGGACTCAGCAAAGAGATAAATCAACAGCACCAGGAGTTGCATCGGCGTCTGACTCGTGGGTCGAGGTGCGTATCGTCACACAAGAAGGTGGGGGAGTGGCCGCCGAACGGGTCTCTCTCGCTTTGCAAAGCGAGAAGCCAGTAGTGACGAGCATTAAAAAAATCGTTCCCTTCATCCAGATTGTCTGATTGCCCTCCCGGGTATGGACTGCGGACGAGATGACTGGCCTGGCGTACTTTTCCAGCCGTCAGTACATTACAGTGCAGGACACTGCTTTTGTATGCGGGGGGAGAAGACACCAGGCCGGCACTGGAACGCTGAGAAGATTGGAGCGGTTCAGAGTCGATGTACGAGTACTCTGCTTGACTTGCACACGCACGACATGGTACCGCTACCGCTACCGCTTGCACGGCGCTACGAGTACAGTTCATACGTAGGAATATCTACGCTGGCTGGTGCTGACGTAGGGTAGGATGATGGGAATGCAATAGTCCGTACCAAGTACACTCAGCAAACATGCCGGGGGAGGTAGTGAGTAGTCACCCTCAAGTTCCTTGGCTTCTGGAAAAGTCTCCCGGGGCTTGCGAGTTGGAGCTTTGGGCTGTTGCCAATTGGGCGGGCGCACATCGTGGGATTTGAGGTGGTGCGACGAGCGGGGGCAAGCTTACCGAGTGAGGCACCGCGCACTCAGTACAGTACCTATACCAGGTACCTACTTTCCAGCACCCACCAGCACCAGCACCACCAGCACCAGCCTCCGCCCATCCCCTACACAACTCTCCCAGGGCCTGGCTGGGGGAAATGCTTCTCATGTTCGGCGGGCCTGCCAGCTCAACGATTCCTCTGTGATGCTTGGGTACCTTCCACCCCCGCTTCTTCCAGCGCGGCACTAAGAAAGTACAGTACTAGGTACCTGTACCTGCTAGGACCTGCTAGGTACTTGCTTGTACCGGTACCTAGTGACTTGCCTCCGCTCGAACCACCAGTCGTCGCTTCACACTCCGCCCACAACACCCTACTCTGATATCTCGATACACAGATACTTCCACATTCATCCCCAGGCCTCGCCTTTTCTTTGCCCGTGATGACACCACATTTGGTCATCCCCCCTAGAATCTCATAATTTCCTCGCTAAGGCGCGCCTTCCGCTGCCGTGGTTGTGCAGAACTAGGACCGTTAAAATCAAGGTCATCCAATCCCTTCTATCATTGGCTGAGGTGAGTTTTTAATGGCCCCTGGAACTGCTCTGCATTGTTCAGTTACACAGGCCTAAATTGATGTGACACTGTGCGTGGCCTTTTTTTGGTCAATCTTAGTCGACTTTCTTCCCAGGGTTGCAAGCTAATTCCAGGCTCTCTTGAAGATACTTCGTCGCCGCAGACTGAAGCTCTTCTGAATCTCTAGCTATCACTTCAACGAAATTCCGAATTTCATTGAAACACTGCAAGGCGAGGCCGCTGGAATTCCACCCTAGAATAGAGGCTCGGATCTTTTTCTATCAAACATCAGGTGGCGCCACTTTCCCCTAGGGAGTATAAGCTCCGTGGTTGTATGGGTGGTTTTGTTTTTACTGGTAGACATTCCAGCCTCCTCCATCTCTTTTCGGTGGTCGATCCTGCTATCGCCTGTAAACTAATTTGGACTCGAAGAGAATGCCACTAGTAAGCATAATCGTCTGGGAAAGTTGAAATTATATATCTGCTAGGTACCAAGTTCCAATTCCCCGATCATCACCTACGATCTCGAGACAAAAATCCACTGAAACATGTTGCTACCTAGATCAAGTCATGGCATCCTCACATACTCAGCAGTCAGTGAGTTCGGAAGACGAAGATGACATGTAAGATTGCAATCCGGGAAGTTACAATCATGACATTCTGATGATATTAGGGATCTTGACAGTGGGCCAGAAGAACGCCAATCTCAAACAAGCGTCATCAGAAACCGCGAAAGCTTGGCCTTAATTTCACGAGATGCAACTGACTGGCTTCCACACATCAAAACACTGCGAGAAACAGATGTGATTATTCTTCTGACTCCCGTCGTCACTCCCATCAGTCAGGATCCAAACGATTTAAGCGACCCTTTTGAACCTCTTGGTCGTTCACTTGCTAAGCGGCATGCAAAAATCAGACAAGTGCCTTATACACAACGGTGAGATTTCTAAAACGAATACGCGATATTTCCTAACATCTATGTCTCAGAAACGGAATTACTTCAACCCATCTTGGATTCATTAAGAGGGGCCAAGTGATTATTTTATGTTTTGCGCTTCGACCAGGTCAACAAATTCCTATGGAGTTTGCAGACATCACATTTGCTGTCAGTGATAACAAACCTTGTATCATTGTTGTATGCTGCAATCCAATCAACGAAAATCTGGCCGTCCCATTTCCTACTGTGATTCAAACTGCTGGATATTCTCCCCCGGCTTTAGAGTCCACGGCAGCATTGATCTTTGGAGAGATACCTTCTCGAGTAGAGCGCCCTCTAGAATCCGACAATGCAGACCCAAACAGCCCTCGTCTGTGGCCGGTGGAACAGTGGATCGAAACAAGAGACGTATCAAGTGTGTTGGAGTTATGGAACCAGAATATTAATGGTCGATTCTCCCTCGACGAAGCAACCTTGGCATCCCTGCTTCGCCGTCCTGGATACGCAAAACATTATGTTGTTCGTGATATGAGTTCTGGAGTGATACTGGGATTTTGCGCTACATACCTGGCATATGTTGACAAGGAAGGAGAGAAATTGATTGCATCGCTAGCAGTGCTTCTCGTTCGATCCACCCATCGAAAACTGGGAATTGGTCTGAGCTTGCACAGTCATGCGGTCAGCCAGCTCAAAAGAACAAGAGGAGTAATACGTTTACAATTTGGAAGTACTTTCCCGAGACTTCTGTATGGCCCGCCCCTTGATACTCAATTCAATGAGGAATGGTTTCGACGCAGATCATGGCAGCTGAGCAAGGAAATCCCTGGACAAGGCCAAATTGTATATGATCTGATCTTGGATTTGGCGAAGTGGAAAAATCCCTCGGGCTCTCCGTCGAACCCCGCGTTCAGGATATGTACTCAAGTAGATATGATGAAAGTCATTGAAATGGTCGAAACTACTTCCGAGAAACAAGGGAAAATGGGATGGTTTGACCAGTATAACGCTCTTATGAATGGTCCGAATGTCAAGGATATCATCATAGCAGTCGAAAATGGTGACGTGGTTGCAACGGCACTCACATATACGGGAGAGGGTAGCCCGATTTCATCCAACTTGCCGTGGGCAAGTCGAATAGGGGATGATGTTGGGGGGGTTACATGTATTTGCATAAGTCGTAAGTTTGTTTTGTTTTGTCATCAACCAATGTCTTTCTTCCTTCCTAGGTCAGGGGGTCAAAAATCATGCTATAATCAATCCCCACGGATACGCAGCATATTCTCACCAATCCTGCCAACCAAAAGGTCCAGTCGAAGTTTCGCTAACCTCAAATTAGCTTCACAGGATCAAGACGTTTTGAAGGGTCTGCTGGATGCTTGTGTCAAGAATCTGCAGGCGCAGGGAATGCGACGGATGTTTCTCGACGGCGTGTCAAGTGGCCTCGACACCCTGATAGATTTAGGTATGGACGTCCTTAGCGAACCGAACCTTATACTCCAACTAACTCGCCCCCGTAGGATTCGAGCAGTGGGCTCGCTACACAGATGTTTGGAAAGACACTTGACAGGACGAAAGAGCCCATCATTTATTTATCATGTTTTGATATCACCTCGTAGAATATAGCGGGATGATTTTCCTATCTAGGGGAAAGAAAAGAAGAGGAGAAAGATCTAGGCGTCGATAAGTGGAGGTCTAACGGAACCAAGTACAGTACATACATAAAAGTATCCCAACCTAAATCTAGAAAATATGATTACAAATGCAAACGATGCTTGGCGGGGGTTTTTACTATTCTATTTGCTATTCTGATTCTTACTGTAAGATACTCTAGATGGACGGCAATGTACTGTAGGTAAGTAAGATGATCACAACCCCAACTCGATATTGATGCATGTCATATTTGCATACGTTATCTACGCCACCAACCGAATCCTTTGCTTACTTCTCTGCACTTCCCTTGTACGAGTAAGTAGCTACCCTACCCTGCCCTATTCTAACCTACTCTACTCAGTGTCAACACGCTTCAATAGACAATCGAGAGAAAAAGACTAAGAAAATTAATTCTGGACTCGAGTACAGAGGTACAGTACATTTCATTATTGACGTGCATGAAGCCTTCTATGTCACATCGGCACTGTATGATATACATGGCATTACAGCCGATTCGATAATACAACAATACTCAAGTACATACCTTTTTTTTCTTTTCCTTTTGGGTACTAGGACTAGGACTAGGTAGGAACCCCCTTTTTTTTAAAAAAAAGAGAGTGAGTCTCGCTATTTTACTGTACCCGTTTTATTGGGAGGATGGGTGGGTCGGTCTACTTATGTTGTGTTACACGGGGAGACGGGTTTTTTTCTTAGGTTAGAACTTGGGTTTGCCTGAGGTGTGGGGACTAGGGGCGGAAGGATTAGTACTGTAAGTGGATTGGTCAGTAGGTGGAGTGATGATGGGATGGTTAGGTCGAATAAAACACTAGGTAGATAGACGAGGTAATAACAAGAACAGTAGTAGCCGTAAGTAAGTACGAATCCGACAATCCGACCCTACCACAATTAGTATTACTCCGTAGAATCCCCCTCACGCGATCGTAAGGGTGCATTTGGCTTAAATTAGTAGACTTAAATCTATTCGGTAGCGTACCCTAAAATAGACAAAACTCACGAAAACTCTATTCGTTTATCGAGTGTACACTCGATAATAAATTCATTTCAAGTCTTATTTAGCTAGCGAAGTGTTCTTTATAATAAAGACGACATACACGCACTAGTTAGAGCTAGAACCGCTAAGTTAATAATTGATTTATAGATATACGTGTCAGGACTTGTAGCAAATGCTGATGAATTGAACTACAGAGGTTGTCTATGTACAAGAAGATTCGATTGTCCTTCCCAAAGCAGCTTCCAAGCCCTCTCTATATACCACAGAACTGGCTACGTGTCCTTTACCAATACTCTAGAAGGTTCCACCAAGTCTGCTTAGAGGTCACGTGCACATGTCGCTGGAGCACTCCAAGACTCACTCCACGGGTGCAACCCTTGACAATACGCTTATATATATAGATTAGTAGTATATTATAGGAGAATAACGTATATACAGGAGGTTTAATATAGTATTTAACAAGTTCGATAAAGGAGAGAGAAGGGATCTTCTCGGGCTCTACTATAAAAGGAGAAGTAGCCCTCTTAGCAAGGCTTAGTAAGCACTAGCATAGCTAGTACTATACCTAGGGGCTAACCTCTTATATTACTCCCCTCCCTCTATAATTAATATATTAGAGTCTATCTCTATATAATAACCTAAACGCGTCGGTTACGCTTAAGCTAGTATTAACTATAAGGACTAAATAGTAAGTCGGTTTCTAATACTTTTAAGTTAGTATCCGCTAACTAGCTTAGTTAAACCGAACTTAGTTATATACTACTTATACTAGTAGGAAGAAAAACTATAAAAATCTATAGGTTTCTATTAGATGTCACGGATGCCAACAAAGGATAAAGTGTATACAGCTTTTGAATCAATTGCTAGAACTAAAACCGTAGGTACGAAGAAATCAAACTAAAGAGAGAAGAGAATCTGAAAGGAGCGAAGTTATTTAAGTTGTTCCAATGCCAAGTCTCGTCACGTGCTTGGCCAAGCGAATGAAATCCTGTCAAATGAAATCCAGCTCCGTCACATTAGACGCTACTGTAACGAATATTCAAACTGGCTAACTAAACTTGGCTGGGTGTTCGCTGGTTGGTATGCTATGATAAGAAGAAGACTATCGGGTTGTTCACTTGGAAGTGAACTCGTTACTTGTATCAAAGATGTCAAAC